AGCTAGTTGGAAAAAGCAGTGTCGCGTCGCCTCCTGACGCGAAGAACGTAGCACTCCCTTCTGAATGATGTGTGCGCATGCCTTATTGACTATGGCAAGCCCAGGATCAAGGCCGAAGTGGATTAATCCAATGTAAGATTTTCCAACCATGTTAAAGTGGCAAATTGCTAGAATGATGCTGCATCCTAAAATTTATATTTTCGAGCTTGTGCTGTCCCCGAAGAGCAATGCTTCGCTAGCTACTAGACAAACCCGTGTCATCTTCGTGCAGGAACTTTGGGAGAGTACCTAGCAGCCTGTCCTGTGCAGTAAACCTTGCTGGTCATATTCACTACTGTGACCTTTGAAAAGCGCAAACTGAACTTGGAGACAATCTGCCAGTGGGATAACCGGCAAGTGAGGTGTTTTTACCTCCCCGTTCGTTGGATGCCTTAAAATATTCTTACTACCGTTATCCGCGCCGCATGCGCCGCGTCGCGAAGCCATGCCTTTGCAATCCCGTGAATCTGGGGGAGTCAATTACATTCCTAAATAATGGGGCCTGAGTTGTTGCACCAAAAGTGGTTTCCCCTCAATGTACTTCCTGTTGAACGTTTAGTTACCAGATTCTCTAGTTACCAGATTCTTGTGCTGTCACGGTTTGCGCTTGTTTTCGATCCGTGGGCTCAGTCTGTGCTCACATCACAAAGGCTCATAGGCTGCAACTGCGAATCATGTTAAAAGCCCTGCTGACCTTGCTAACAGGGTTGTAAAATGTCATCATCGCTCCTCAGATTAGGTTCGGGATTCCGAAGAACCTGCTTGTTTCTGGCCGTGCCGTTGCCGGACCAAATTTGTTCTGTGCAGCATGCAGACAGGACTCGGTTCGGCTTGACCTGCTTATGCAGTAGATTTATTTTGCCACCGTAGCGCTCCTGTTTTCATAGATAAAATTCTATCGTTGTAGCCTTCCCTGCTTAGCATTTCGTGTTTCCGGCATTGCTTCCCTTTGCAAGCCCAGCATTCAGACCTCATTTCACTGCAGGAAGCTTCCCCAGTCCGGATGCCTTTCGAAAGAGGCACACACGCTAATCAAAGGAGCCCTTGTTTGGTTATTCACACCTCCTTTGAGACGCATGTCAAGATATGGGTTTTCAGAAACACGCAGAGCAATCTGGCCACACTTGTCTGTAGGCATCAGCCTCAGATGATACATCTTCAGCATATCGCACACCAGAGCAAGCATTATTCACACTGGCCTACAGACAGCAACAACACGAATGTTTTTAATCGTGTCCTTTTGTTGGAAGTGCGTATAATATGAGGGACAGTTTTTAGCAAACGCGGTTACTGGGAGGTTTCAAGGGGGGCAATCCTACACCACAAAATGTTCTTTGTCCTACACTTTGTGTCTGCCTTTGCAGCTCGAGTGCTTGCTTACAATATAGTCCCGGCACCCAAGATTAAGTGCAAGCTTCATCTGGTGTTATCGGGTTCCCTCCAGCAATGCCGTATGCTCTACTATGTTAGGATCGCGTATGCTCTGCCGTAGGTTGGTTACAACAACCCTCGGTGGCCTGCGCAATACTGCAGAAACATGAACTAAAGCCACTGGACTAAGTATGCCTCAGCTAGAAGGCATACGAAGTTCTCTGAGCATTCGAGATGAGAAAAGTATAAACCGATCTTTGGAATGCGGAGTAAGGCGCTGTGTGGCAGTCAACACCCAACAGTCAAGCGGCGTCTCGCAACTCATGGTCCCCAAAGAAAACTTTGCGCATCATTGCATATATGCCATGCATGCTATCGGTGCATGATAGTGTAAAGGAGTTTCAATTTATGTACAGCGAAGCATGGTTCTGCATTAGCGTCTGTGTCTGCGATGGGTCGGCAATTTTCGTTGTCGGTAAAGTTGCATTATCTGCAGGAAAAACGAACAGTGTTGAAATTTTTCAAGGCTATTTACAAGCCTTTAGCTCCACGCTTATGTTTTGTTTGCTCATTTGAGGCGCCAAGAAAGCAGAATGCCACAACAAGCCCCAATGCGTGGCAACCATTCCATGTGGCTGAAAAATCGTATGCCCGCCGTTTTAGCCGTACGGTTCCCCTAATCAAGGCTACCATTAGTGTGTTTAAAAACTGGACTAGACCATGTGCAACTGGCTGTGAGAATGGACCGAACATGGCTCGTGTCTGAGGGGCTTCAAATCGCTACCGCAAGTGGTGCTGTTGCGTGGAATGAAAAATCCATTTATCCACGAAACCTCTTGGGGCTAGCCGAAAGTACATGATTACTGATTTTGGGTAAATATGGGGTGATTCGCACGACGTTGCGCACCCTAGTTTACATCGATTGTTACTTACGTGCTCATGCTATCCTGCCCCGAGGAGCTTGCCTGCGACACAGCGCACGCCTTTTTGGCCTACTTTCAAGTAGAGTACTGTTTGCAGTGTCTACAGGCCAGCAACTTAGAGGACGTTTCTAAAGAAGCAGTCTAAGATTAGTCTACCATAGTGAGTCAAGGGACAGTAGACTACTGTGCTTGTCTCAGACTGTCCCAGTGATGGTCGATACTAGGTACCGAAGGCTCGAACGGGACAATATGAATCAGGACAGCTTCAGAATACCCAAGGCGCGTGACAGTGCCGCCAAGCAGGCGGATGACATGGCCATCTTAGAGAAGAACAAGGCAAGCTTACTGATCTCCATAGAACGGCACACTTCGCGAGAGCGTTTCATGCCCACTTATGGCATTCCTGTGTTTTTGGCTTGAAATGAAGACTGGCACTAGCTTTCTGCCTTCTTCTTCCATGATGTACATGTATTTCGAGGTGGACACCATTCTAGAGAGAGCAAGTAATGGTTGTGTGATGGTTGCCAGCGATGCGTGCCAAACGTTGGTATTTACGCCAATGAGCTGACGATAACGGTCTCGTCCCCTTTGTCTCAGTTAGGCATAGCGGAATCCACAGAAACGCCGCCTTCTAGTGGGCAGAACGAATTAACGCCTACAAACGCCACACGCCCAAAAGAAAGAGATGTTCAGAAGAGGCCCGCAAAACCCACAAGGGGCGAGGCAGCAGGACTCCAGGAGCTGAATTCCTTTACAAAAACAGTAAATCAAACGATGCAAAACTACCATGTGGGTCAGTGCAAAATTTTGGAGTATTGTGAGCCTTGAAGGGAATGCTAAAATTGGAGAGAACTCTAAATATAGGAAAAGCCTACATTTGCAGTTCTCTGAAGATATTGATATTCACCGAAAGCAAGGGTTCTGCAGAACAGCATTGCCAAAGGCATCAAGTTTCTGAATGTCGTGGATTCTCAACACGTACGCTCAATAGGCGGAGCAGTCGCAACCTGTGGTGAAAGTGGACCAACTGTTGTCAAGCCTGCGGAAACGCTTTGACGATGTCCATGCTGAAGTTAAGAAGCGAAGCGAAGAGGTTGCCCGTTTCAAAGTAAGGACGATATTTCAGGCTTTAAGGGAATTCACCAAACAGGCAAGGCTGACTGTCCGGAATGCATTTGCTTGTGCACCGCAAGCCAACTTGTAGGCTTTTTTGTGTCTCGTCCAGCGTTGGCGCTGCTCAGGAAGGCATTCGGCAGGCAGACTCTGCTGAACATCAAGTCACAAACGATAGGGCTCGCATACATCAGGTCAGGTAAACACTAGATTATTAAGATGACCTTGATTATTCTTCCCAGTGCTCTGCCTGCAGGGCAACAGAAAATCCAGTGATTTTTGTACTTCAGCGTGCTGGTGAATTGACGCAATCGCTCTCACTGCTGAATAAAAAGGTTGCAGAAGCTGGCTACACAAAGAAGGTTTATATGCACATACTTCAGAGGACAAAGGTATTCCTCATTAACGAAAGCGTGACTTCAAATATTGGCCCTATGCAAGCATATGCACTTTTCGTACTCGTTGAACTCGTCATACAACAGGCCCACTCCCCCTGCTTTCTGTGTTGCGATTTCCAAGTTTGAGAAGGATGCCGTTCGCCAAAAAAACCTGATGCTGCAGGGCAAACTAAAGTCCTTAGGTCTTGAACTCAAAGAGGAACGTAGTGCTTTAGAGTGCGCCTGTATTTACACCAAATATATGGAAGCCTTTAATTGCTTTCACAATATGGCTAACTACGGCCAAGGCTTATCCCGAAAGCTGGCTTTCAAACAAGCCTTTGCAGAAAACCCATATGCCTATGCCCAGGAAGCAACAGAAGAAGAAAAGCAAAGCTGTTTCTGAGCTCAAGCAACTGGAACAGGTTGGTCCGTCAAAGAGTAGTATGTTGAAGACTGAAAGACCTAGAATGACTGCCGTTTCCCCGCGATACTACAGACAATGACTGCGAGTATCCTTCTTTCATGATAGGAGTTACAAGGAGAAAGAGTCATACGCAATCAGGGTCTCAAAGAAATCGACGAAGCGATTGAGTATAAGAGAGCTGCAATAGAGAAGAGGCAGGTGCTCATACGTATACGGCACCAGAGACTGCAAGCCGCATCCATCATAGTCCAGCAAGTCCTTTAACCAGACTGGCGTGCTCTAACTGCAAAAGCCTTACTAAATGGTCGCGTTCTTGAGTCCTGCGGCTGCTGCTGGAACTGGCATGTGACGAAGTGCATATGCTTGAGACTGTCTTGATGTGCGATGCTTCGCAGGCAGCGGCTCGTTGAGTGGCAGCAGTCAATCGTAAATGACGCTGCTGCTGCAGCTCTTTCCGCTTCTTCTGGAAAATGGAGAAGAATGCTTTGCGTTGAGAAGCTGATCGCAAATTCCCTGCAAAAGACAAGCGTTGAGAATGTGGAAAAATGGCAGTACAAGGAAGACGTCTTTCAGAGAATTCGAGAAGCAACAGTGAGAGTTTGTATTTGAGCGAAACTTAGGAGCATGAGGCATTTTCGCCTTCTGAATGGTTGCTACGCCGGTTTGCCTTGTACCTGCGACAACGACTTTGTTATAGGTCTTTTCAACACTAGAAACCTGCTGAAGAGTGAGTTTAGCTTTTCTCAGGGGATGGCTGACGTTATGGAGATAGTCAACAAATTTTTGAACCGGGACTTGGAGAACCAAAAGCTGAAGCTCTTGGCGGAGGAAGCAGAAAAGAAACTTGAGGTGACAAGCAAGGACGAGAAAAGAAAACGCAAGGGTAGTATTATGATAACGCAAATAAGAACCCTTGCAACTAGTGAAGATGTTTTGCGCTGCATCCGCAGCCTCAGCCACCAGTTTTAGTCCCAGCCTGGCTGTTTAATTGGCAGCATTCGACATGCGTGTCAAAAAGTGCAGAATTCTAGAAGAGAATATCAAGAGGCCGTCCGACGTGCAGTAGAGGAACTCGATCTGACAAACTGTTCTCATATACGGAAGCTCTATGATGTAACACTCAGACATTCAACTGCAAATGAACCTTATGCAGCAGCTAGCAACCACCACAGAGTAAATGCGACAACAGTAGAAGCATACGGCTGGATGCTGAGCTGTGCTGCAACCTGGAGCATAGGAGCCGACTGTGATGCAGCATAAGCAACGAGACGGTTTGCGGTTGAGATACCCTCCATCTTGGCACGGTGTTAAGAGCTGTTGTTAGGGCGAACACATGGATTTGTGGCTTGCTAACGTTTCAAAAAGATACGTATGGAACGTTGTACCATGCTAAGGATGCTGCAGGCTCTTGATGCACAGTCACAGTCCTGGAGCAAAACATTTTACGACCATGCAGCGCGGTGCGTTGAAAAACGTAGGTAGGAGGTGGAAGCCTTGTAGAGCTCGCCACTGAAGACTCCCAAAAATTCCAAAATGTTCCGTATTTTAAGAGGAACCCTAGGGTGCTGTGCTGAGGAATATGCACAGGTACAAACTTCTGAACCGCTCCTTAGGGGACATCGACCAGGCTAGGCGATCCGCAGCTAGCATCAACGCAAGCCTTGTGCAACTTGGCATTGAGGTGTGCTGGGTCCATGAACCATTAGACGCCACGTAATTTTCAAGCGGATTCTGGAAAGCTAGGCTTTAAGTAGAGGTGTGTGACCGTGATACGGATCTCAGGTTCCTTGGGATATTAATGCGCAATCGTCGCTGGAGCACTACTTTCAGAATCTCCATGCACGTAGCATTCCAAAACTGATCAGTCTTCCCGACAAGGTTGCGTATGTAACCAATCATGACAACCTTGATGCTAACGGGGCGCCACCTTGTAGCGAACAAGCAGGAACAACTTTTCCAGCAATAAATCAACAAGCATCGTGCTAAACATGAAGTTGGTGGGATGCTAAAATGGAAGATGCTTCAAAAGCATCTTCCTATAAATGTTTGACGCCACTGCCTCTCTTTGGTGCTTTTTAAGGTGGCATACTATAGCGACAAAGGAAATGGAACGAAATGATATCATCGCATTCCACAAAACGGCATTTGATTTTGTGAGCGCAGCTAGTACGCCTGTAAGATGCTACTTTTCAATCTAATTGTAAAAGAACCCTCAAAATACAAGGTTTTTCAGGTTCCCTCATATTAACTAGAGGCGAAAGTGTAGGGAAGGGTAAGTAAGCGGCATGAATTGTAATGCGTTTTTCGTCTGGGACATAAAGTACGAAACCTTTACAAATTCGCAGTTGAGTCCAGTTGCACTGTTAGATTGGCTTCAAGCACTTGCGTTCATTGCATTCAACAGCTTTTTGTAGTACGGGTGTTTTAACGGATTCCTATGCACGAGGATTATGCGTGAAGCGGCGGCTACAGAGAATGCAAAGCTCTTCCCACCTCGATCTGCCTTTCTTTCTCTAGCGGCAGCATAGTCCTGCATTTACTTAAGTATGGCAAGGTCTAGTCAAGTTGAGGCGCACGCAATGGAATTCCTTATCCAATTTATAGGGTTCTCGCGATGTGCAGTGCTTTCGAACACTCGAATAAATTGCACGACAACAGCAAACTTCCCTCCCTCTCCACCCATCCCGCCGCAAAGACTCCCAGGCAGAACAGTAGAGGCTCCTTGGGGCCAGTTGGGAGAAGAGGCATCCTGCCGGATGTTGCAGCAGCCTATTACGGCGCCCTTCATGGCAACCCCACAAGCATGCACCCCCACATTCCCTTGCGATCCACGCACAAATAGGCGGACACCGTAGTCATTTGTCGAAAGCTCACTGTGCTTCCGGGGTTAGCGCCGCGCTTCCTTGCTGGTAATTAACGCAATGTACAAACAGCAGATACGGCTGCACCGAAACGCAGCGTTGCCGCTCACCCTATGCAGAAATGGCAGCCAGCCCAAGTTGGTTCTTGCCCCAAATTAAGAAAAGTGGAATCGTCCTACCCTGCCGATCCTGGCTAGCAGGAGATAGACGAAGGGGCACCGGTTGCAGACCGAAATCGGTTATTGCAGGAGACAGAGGAAATATGAGGATGTGGACTCATAAATTCCCCTTTATATGCTACGCAACATCAGTATTTCACTTATTGCTGCAGCGCTTAGTGCAACTGCGCCGTTTCTGCCCGCACACACACTCCCCGCCGCTGAGCTAGCGAAAACACGTTGGGAATTCTGAGGAATAACTAGAGCAAAAGCCACTGCAAAATCACTCTGGTTAATGTTTTCCTGACCACTTAGCATAATATATGCCATTGGTGTAGTTTGTCTGCAGTTTTACACGCGAATTTGGTATCCAGTTGGTTCGCCCCCCGTGAATGATTTGGCCTCTTCTTCATAAGGGTAGCTTATGGATGCTTCTTTGACTCCATGAATAATTCAATCAAACCTATATTAGCAGTGTGATGATGCCACCACGTAGGAGGCAGAGCTGTGGTATTTTCAACACGGCGGCCCAGGAAACCATGGGTGGAAGGCGCTTAGCAGCACTAAACGAATTTCGGGGCTGGCGGCTGTCCTGGGCGCCTGTCAGAGTCAGAGAACGTGATCACGTATTAAGAGGCGTGCGTTCTACCTGAAAGCCCAACCTTCTCCATTGTGGCTTATTACATGGCAGAATCTAGCCTGGCAGATTAACAAGTGACAACATACATTACCCAGCGGCTGCAAGCTGTATCTAGACGTTCTCCAATGCTGTGTTAAAGGGATGGCTACTATAGGCCATATATAACATCCGACCTACCTGGGGTGTTTTCACGTAGACGGCTGCGGCCGATGGGTACTACTTAGTTGTAATGCATGCCTGTTTCGGAGAAGGGAGGGAGCCAGGCCGCTTCGATGAGCTTTCCTTGAAGAGTTCTTACAAAAAGGACCAGCTTGCCTTTTGTGCTTTTCATGACCGTTGATTCACTCTCACGACGGCCAGCTGGCCAGGCGTTGGTATTTATGCCGCTTTTTGTTCGGCGTGCCAGCAGTTGAAGCACTGAAACGTTAACAAGCCCAAATTGCTCCTGCGCCCTCCAATCCCTGAACAGGTGTGGAGGAAGCTGCATTTCACTGCGTTTGGCCGAATATTTGTGTTATTGTGATTAATAATGCTAATTGTACCAATTTTATTCCCTGGTTTTGAGCCCAGTTGCAGCAAAGGGAGTTGAAGGGGCGGCTCCGCCAGTCTGGCATGTCTAAGTTCCTCCAGCACTACGGCTGATGGATATCAGGAGTTAACTATCACCACTGAAGAAAATTTGTAAAGCTGATTAACAGCCAGCATAATAGGACCACAGCGAACCACTGAAAGGCCAGCGTATGAACGACCACGCAAAAGCCATCTCGATATGTAGTGCAGCTGTGGCCCTATAGTCAGCAAAATTGTTGTATGGAGTGGCTCTATCACGCAAGAGTGCACTCGCGACAAATTCTGACATTTTTGGGATTACGGCAAGAAACCGTCGGCCTGACGCTTGGTAGCCATCGCCCTCCGTCTGCACCGAAAAGCTTCCAGACACAGTTTGCGGCCGCTCAGGTGGGCTTGAAAATACTACAGGAACATCAGGGAAGGAGCTACCTCAAAAGGCGTCGGCACTCATTTTGAACCAGCGTGATTCCTTTTTCATGGATTGGCACTGTCTGCAAGGCGTGCAGGGGGGTGCCCAATCCAGCGGTTGCGCCGCGTGCCGACTAGGGTTCGTTGTTGCATCGACGGCGAGGCCTGCAGTATGAAGTTTCTCGGCAACTGTGCGTGCCACTACATCACAAATATCTGTTCTGTACAAATAATGAGGGGATCACCGGAATTTTCTCGACCCCTCCCTCAAAATTGCAGTAACATGATTGCTGCATGCATCAAGCAGAGGCGATGTAGATCCTGGATACAGGTGCAGCCATGCGAAGAGGTTACACAGCACGTGACCACGTCAGGTAACGGTGATATCGCCAGAGTGGGTAGGTTTTTAACAGGGAGCCCGAGTGAGCTTCTGAAAATGGCGTGCTCGAAATCATTGCTCTGGAGCTCCTATATAACCTTGTTGGTTCGGGAGCGGCGGCCTCAAGGGTTGGCGTTAAAGACAGAATAATTCTATGTAGCGTGTATGCCTTATTAAAAACTCGTTTTGTTACGGGAAAGCAGGTTTCCCTATCTTGATGTTTCCATGCTCTTTTGCTCTCAGTACTTTTCAGATGTGCTCGGTGCGCTTCGCAGTCCTGCTACTAACTAGGCACGGCATCCAGCAACACTCATTTTTACATCTTTTAGTACTGGGCTCTTAGTTGGGGTGCCTTCTCCCCCGCACCATTTGCGCTATAAGGCTGGGCATAGGCGCCGGCCTATCTTCTGCTTGTGTTGTGTGGAGCGGGGTCCCCGCAGCAAAACGTGTTGCTTGCTCTACTCATTCGCTGAGGTAGATGCAATTCACCAGCCGCCTACACCAATGTTGGGCCTGCTTCATCCACACGCCGCGGGCAACAGCAGCAGCAACAGCACACAGCTGCAACGGCGCAGAGGTCCTCTAACTTGAGTACTACTCTTCGCTGTTTTCTGATTGTCAAGCTGCGTAAGAGTACGTGCATCCATGTTGTTGTGTACGATGGCTACTGGGCACCACGTAAGCATTCAGCAATAGGCTATGGTGCTACTTCTTGCATCAGAAAGGCTCTTTGACATGGCTGAATGTGGTTTTATTTTTGTGGAGTTGCATCTTTCTCTTGTCCGTGAGCATCAGGACAGGCATCTGCTTTTGTTTAGCCGAGCCAGAACCCCGCGCAGCTGTGTCAGGGGCGCCACCCTAGGAAAAGGCAAGCAATTTAGAGACTGCCACAATATGGATACCAGTTCCATTTGGTGGCCACTAAACGATTTGACGCGATGCTCCGAATATGGCACTCTAGCTAAATACTCAGCTTTTGAAGGGGGAAGAACCTTCATAGGGCTTGCTTTGCTTAACGGTATTGGAGCTTATTGCCGGAACTCTTGATGCATTTGGCAAGGGTTGCGCGCGGGAAACTAGACGGCAAAACGGTTATTTGATTTCTCCAAATTGCCCGTTTCTCAAGTTCAAACAAGTTTTGAAAAAGAGTTTCTATACGGGTTTTCAAGCGCCCGAACCGCGTGGAACGTTAGCCTCTGAAAACGCTCCAGGCTCAATGCTTCACTAGCATCTTCCGAAAAAAAAGCTGATAAAGCCAAATCACGCATGGACGTATTTCCACGAAGGAGCCTGCTCCACCCTGCCCCTCTGTAGGTAAACACGGCATCTTTGCATCGCAGCCAACCCCGCAAAGGGGAATAGCTATACTAGGTATCGTCGGGCTTGACCAGGCTGTCATGCGCTTCCTCTCTAAAATGGGAGCGTTTCGCTCCAATCTGGAGGCCGAAACATTTCTGTTCAGGGTGGCCGGAGCCGTTGCATACTCCGATATCTCCTCCTCCTTGTGCTGTTCAAAACAGGTGAAATATTGATGTGTTTCCCCGTCATAGTGCTAATGCTCAATGTGGGGTACTCTATCCAACGGTCCAGTTGCTGCTGGCACAATAGGAGAATTCTAGCGTAATTGGTTGAACGCCACTGTTGTTTCAGGGGCAACGGACTGTGCGTACACCAGCTACGCTATCACGTACTCGGCTTTGCATTGGCCACAACTGGTACTCCTCCGACAGGTCCATCGAGGTAAACACTAATCACATTAAGGTTTGGGAGGTATTGGAAGTTGCGATGCTCTGTACCAGCTCAAGGATGAGCGTGAAGTACCACTTCGCCCAAATACGACCTGTCCAACGCCAACAAAGCAGACTGCACTGGTAATGCTGATACCAGGGGAGCGCTTAAAATTTAGATAGTCCAATGTAGCCTTCAAAAACGCTTGAAAGGCTTACTAGCCTTGCCGCTGTATGAGAAGCTCAAAAGATAGCAGACTGCTAGTTCTTCTGCTCGCTCGTACTCACGCACTCCTCTGGGACCTTTCAAGGTCTTAGGGGGGTGTTGAGGACAACAGTGCAGCTGGCTTCAAAGGGGCTGCCTCAGCCACTAATGGGTTCTTCATGCCGATCGGATAGCCGTCCTATGTCCCGTACGGCGTAAGTACATACCGTGGCAACCAGAGGAGAAAATGTCCTCTTTGTACTTCTGCTTGTTGCGCAGCCTGCATATCCCGCACTGGCAGCTCATGCTTAGTGCAAAGTGGCACCGCCACTGTTGGAAATAACAGAGAACTGATTTCAGACCGTTACGACCCTGGAACGTCATTAGAGTTCCTCATACTTCCAATTGTCAGGATGATTATCCTTAGTTTCGACGGCGTTGTCTCGTTGCCCTTTACTCTACCCCCAACTACATGCACGCTCTGATCACAGGTGCAGACACACCCCACAGCACCCCGGGCCGGCGCAGAAGTCTGGTCAACACAGTACGTGGACGACCCTTCAAAATCACGTTTTATGTATTAGCGCTGAAAAATACAATGACGATGAAACATTTAGGGGTCTGTTATCCCCCACACTTTGTGAATGCGTTCTTGCTTTTCGACTCACGTATAAGCGCGCTTCTCAAACAAGCCCCTGCCGCGTATGCCCAATGATTGGATAAAAAATACACGCAGTGCATTGACTGCAGCACTGATCGACGCATTGTCTTTTTAAAATTACCTTTAGAAGTTGGCCCTCTATTGGAAGGACCAGACCGCCAATCAACATCAACCCACAAGTCTCTGCCCATCCTGGAGCGTGAACACGCGTGCTCCAGATTCCATGCTATTTTCGAAAGAGTCAAGTATATATTTCAAGTAAAACAAATGCCTTTCGGATGCTCGGTGTCTACAGATCCCCGCGAATCATAAGCTTCAATAGACCCCAACATGAAGAGCTTTGGAACTCGTATTCGGGGCTGGTCGTGCATACACGCGGGATGGGTCAACGACAGGAGTCCTCATCTTGCGCAATTCTCTCTTTGTATCAACAAACGCTGAATTATTTTATTGGAAGTTGCATATTTTTCTATGCGTCGGTTCTCACGAAGAGCCAAGTTTGTCTGGGCAAGTCCAACTACAGGTTTAGCAGCTTCGCCACAGCATGCTTTTCCGAATCCGGCCTGACAAGAGTGCCTTTGCTGCTCTGCAGCAGCCACCACACAAGCCAAGGCTTGTATTGAAGCTTCTTTTACTAGCCTGGCTGGAGAATTGCTGGAGTTTGCAACTTCCGCAATAGCCAGAGCACAAACTAGGAGACCTGGTACCGCGGTCCACCGTCACCATTCGCTCATTTCACGCTTGCAAGAGTTTCGCTGTGAAAGCCTGCACAACAATTTCGAAAGCATCTACGAAGGGGACGTTTGTTCGAAAGACGTCTCTAGACACACAAAGCGAATGGCAGTCAATCTATGACGGAAACCCGTGCAAGAATAATCAAGCATCCAGCTCCCTGTCTGTAGTCTAGACAGATTGGCTACCCCCTTAACAGCTTTTTCGAGACTTAGTGCACGGAAATTGTACTTAGCAGTAAAGCTGACTAGCCCCCACAGAGAGATTTCTGGTCCCTTTCTGCCGAACTCAATGCAGACGAGGGTCGCTTCTCCGTACATCAGTGTTGAAAAATGTACACGTTTCGGTCAGCCGTTGGTGGAGTGGCACAAAGCCTAATGTTCACAAACATATCAGTACTTGTTTACTTCATTCTCAGCACAGCTGCATCCCTCCAAGGAGCTAGCCGCGTACAAACAGCATCTCCAGTTGTGTTGACTCGTTAGCGCAGTTATCGCCGACGGCGTATTTGGCACCCTCAGTGTGAGTTCACGTTGTCGAGCTTGCGCTTTAGCAGGCATTCGGCCAGTGGAGAACCTGACTAGTAATGCATTGGCGCTGGGAGTGATCAAGCTTCATAAACACAGCATTTTCTAAATGCGAGGAAGGCCGTACAGCTGACGTACCCTTTACTCCTTTAAAAATGGACAGCAGCCGTTTAGTAGAGAATGCAGCAGATTGCGGCATTCAGTGCATCCACTGGCTGATAGCCCCTTGGAGCGCCAAGTGAGTGACGGCAACGCGGCCGTCAGCAATACGACATGCGTCGAGTGTGATACGACAGGGTTATTCAGTGAACTCCAAGCGTATACAGAATGCAGGCCAGCTATTTCTAGAATTAATGCTTCCTTCGTTCACGTACGGGAGGAATAACAAACTAGGGGGAGAAGACCAGCAGCATTGCCATGAATTCGTGTATTGTGGACGAGCGATCAGCCATCTCCTACTCCCGATAGTTTGCAAGCAGCTGTGGAGCTATGCCTGCAATTGCCCACGATTACAAAAGGATGTAGCACCTGGAAACGAGTTCAACCTGATAAGCTGCCTCCCCTTCAAGCGTATTCTGGAACCTCCTAAAGCTCTAACGGTTGAGCACGCTTGCAAGTCTTTTCTCTCTCAGCTATCTTCACCGAACTGAGTATCGCGGCACTGATTCCCGTACAGGGGACCACCTGTAAGGGCAAAAATTATTTGGTATTGCACAGACGAAATGTTTTTGGAAATATCCAGTGTACCTTTGCTTTGAAGCCATCCTTCAAGTATAGAAGCACGATGAAACGTAGCTCTTTCAGTATCCAGCACGCGCATTCCAAGTGAATCATACCGAAGATACTCGTTGCACGTCGTCAAGCACCCTTCCATGATTCGATTTCTTTTGTAGTACCTTATTCAGGTTTGTGGCTCAGGTTTGACGTGACATTCTGCAAACTCACACCTGAACAGCCTGTAGCGGATGTGGAAGCCACCGTTCACTTCGCGCTCGCGCCTGAATTGATCGAAGAATTGCAAAAGGATAAAAGCCCCCATCAACCGTAAGACTACTCAGTAAAGTGCCCTGAACTACACCTAACGCAAGACAAGCTAAACAACAAAAGCCAACTATGCCGACGGGCCGCGGAAATTACCACATCACTGAAGCTGCAAAGCTGGACGTGTATCTTCCCAATGGGTCAATACCAAGGGCAATGAATTTGATAGCCTGGTGTGCAAATGCACAGAAACAATGCAGATGGGCGCATTGCCTTCCGCTTTGAGGGCGAGCAACTTATCCACACATATTCCAGGACACTACTACCTTCGAAGTTCGAGTTGTGGCTTGACAGGTGCAAAATATGCACAAGCGTATCCACGAGGAGGGACAGCCTCGTCAATCAAACCTGCAAGCTTGCACACTTGCAAGTTTGCGCTTGCATAACATTTTAAGCCCCAAAATGTAGTAAGAACCACTGTGCTTTTCTTGGTCGCAGAGCTAGCGCATCGGTGCATGGGGTAGAATCAGGTGTGTGTGTGTGTGTGTGTGTGTGTGTGTGTGTGTGTGTGTGTGTGTGTGTGTGTGTGTGTGTACAGGATTCTGAAAAATAAACGGGAAGTCAGGCGCTCGGTGATGCTCCAGACGCCGTAAGGAAATATGCCATTACCCACTAGCAGGCACATCTCAGGCATATGCAGGCATCCCATTGAACAACTTTTTATTACGCTTAGATGCTGACGAGCTTTTGCAGCTTCGAGAGAACCCGCATGGATGCGCACCTTCAGCAAGTCAACATGCTACTGCTTGAGCAGAAGGCCGTCTTGATGCAGCAGGAGAAGCAACACCAGCATGCTATCCTCCAACGGAGAAAAGTAGCCAAGTGGGAAGGTTCCCAGAGGGGAATTGGAGAGGCCCACGATCAGCAGAATGTGCTCACCCCTCGTATGAGCTTTGAACAGCATCTGACAGATGATATGCTAAGGCAACTCTTAGAGAAGGTGTTCAGATCTGCAGATGAAGAACACGCAGGCAAGAATGCGGTCATCATATTTTCGTTAAAGAGTTTAAGCATTACTTCAGTGAGGCAGGTTGTTCCCGATGAGGCAAGCGATTTTCTTTCGGGTCACTTACCACTGTTCCAGGCCGCCTCCAGCATCGTGAGGTTGCAGCATTGCTTTTTGCTTGTCCACTGGGCCTTACAAGATGGGAATTCGTTCAACTTCTCGCCGGTGCTCAAGAGCATGCAGAGGGGTGGATTGAATATGGGCCCTTTCTGGAGGTTTGTTATGTTCACGAGCCCTGCAGTGTCTAGTGAACACTACAGGGCTCGTGCATGAGTTAAAGAGATTACCTCTACGGTCGGACATATCAGGCGATAGATGAAAATGGTCATCAAGTCTCAGTATGCCTTATTTCTGAACGCGCTGTGCCGTTTATATTTCCTCACATGTCATTCAGAAGATTCCCAAACTGCTTGACATGCTCAGAGACAGGAGAGAAAAAGCTCGACAGCGGTGAGGCCCAAACCCCCCGAAAGTGCCGGTGGAAGGAACTCCTCGATGCAGAATGAGGGGGAAAATTTCTTCCGCCGCATCTCACCGAGCATTTTTTTGTGTTCTGTGAAGCCTCTGCAGCAATGTGAAGCGAAGAGCAACAGCAGATGCAATGGTGCTCCTCTTTCGTGAGGAGCTAGATGAGACATTTAGGTGCGGGACTTCCCTAACACGCCAAAAAACAAGAACATGGCACATGGAAGTTGCAGAAACGCTGCTGTGCTTTCTTTCTAAATGCACACGCGTCCGCAGGATGACAAGAGAGCTGCTAGAAGGAATGGGAAATCACGTGACATCGACAGGTAGTGTAAACGGTCTTTCTCTGTTGATGGTTGGACTGGAACTGCCTTCTTTTCTCCCTAGCAGCATATATTCCCATTCTATCCATCACGCTATTGTGGATTATTCATTCGTTAGGCTTGGTCAAACGGCAAGAGCTTTATACGGCTATGCAACGCACTGACAAGTACGAGATTCCTGGTTTGCTGCCAAAAGAAACGGCTAGTAACTTCAGCCAGCTCACATAATCTGCCTTCCAAAGGGTTCTTTGCAAGAAGTAAATGTAGCAAAGGTTTGTTTGTTCTCTTGTTCGGAAAACCACTCAAGGTATTCTAGGCAAGACATGGCTTTCATTATGCAAACAATTCCAGGGAATGACCAAGGGGAAGTCGAATACGAAGCGCTGCCAGCTCTACTTCACGTCCTCAGGTGCGCCCGACACAAAACGAAATGCCATCCAGAGCAGCCTGGATGCTCGTACTGGGTAGAGGCATTCCAGTTAGTGTCATGATGTGCTGCGGCATAGGAAGGAAAGTATTAACAATGCCGTTCTTGAAGTTGACCCTATAGCGATCGAAGCTGAGCTCAATAGGACTGCAAAAGAAGTGTAAGATGCCGTCGATCTCCATATTCCATCCCTTCATGTAAAGCTATCGCTTCTTGCGATTGTCGCCTGCTAACGATGCTGGCAAAATCTTGCAGAATGCAACGACTAAGCTTCGTAAGAACCTTATCGCAGGTTTATCGTTTTCGCAATGAGCCTGTTTCCTTTACAAAAACTTATCTTTTCCGATGCCTGCAGAATTACTCATGTCCTTTCCAAGCAATCCTGCGACCTATTCCCCAATTGATAGTTACGGGCAGACCGAGGTAGTAAGCAGGGACATGCGGGGCGCCTTAACCCTATTTTCTCTTTAATGTAAAGGAACGTGCTCCATATCATACGAGATTGCCGCAGATGGGAGTCACAGCTGTTGGGCTTGTGCCTGTTTGGACGCTGAGAGAGGTGCTCGACAACAGCGGGTTGTGTCTGTCCAAAATGCACATTCATGTCAGCCGACTGCCCTTTTGCACGCTCCACACCGTAGTGATAGCTGTCTTGCTCCCAAGAATACCTCAAGAGCAATACGCCCAGAGAAATATTTCGTTAGAGGGCTTCAACGGCGCTGAGCTGCTGCAGGTGCTTCTTTGCTTGTCTTCTATGAACCGTCAAGGTCAAGTTGTCTGGGAAGAGTTTGTTGCGGTTAGAAGCACATGCGGGAAATTTAGCGTTGTAGCTTGCTGCTGTGATGAAGCCGAACGTGTCGAAAGTGAAAATAGAGCTACGAGAAACTCCATGTCTCAGAGAGAAACGGACTACCTTTGCATCGATATTCACTGAAGTTCGCTGGTGGCAACAGGCTAGGGGTCCATGCTGCGTTTACCTTGTGTAGTGTGAAAGTTTCCTGCGCACTTGCAGGTCGTACAACGCGTTCTGCCACCCCTGTTTGACAGTGACTGCTTGATGGAAACAGGCAGGTCCAACTCTCCTCACGTATAAATAGCATCATGAAGGCATTTACATATTAGAGACAGTCAGGTGCATGATGGAACTTCTTAAGTTAACAGCTCGATATGCAAGGCACTTTCTCCAGTCGTCGAGAAAAACAATATGGCCTTGGCAGTGTTTTTTGTCTGTAGCCGATCGAATTGGCAAGATGGTGGCGGATGCCGAGGCACAAGCAGAATTTGAGGAGCTGCGTGGACTTTCCGTTCGAGACTCTAAGCAGAAGCAACGAGCTAGCCTTGCAGCTCGCCGTCGCAGCAAGCTGAGACCCGCTTCGCACGCTCAGCTGCAATTTATGGCTGACGACGGAGACCAGGTGAAAAATGAAACGTGATGATACATGCTCCTGCTAATTAAGTGGACGCCCATAGGACACTGCCTGAAAGGTTATGTGCTGTGTGTTGCATTTCAGGGCGAGCCTCCAGACCGTGAAAGTGTGGAAAAGACACTTGTGCACCTCTTCACGGTGCTTGACGACAGACGGAAGGGTAAGCGCTTTTACGGATCAACGTAAAATAGAATATACGTTCCTTTTCACTGGCTGCTTCTCGCACGTGTGAGAATGCACTGCAGGTTCAGTGCCGGCTCAGGTTTTTGTAGGAGTTATGCACTATTGGTCGGCGCGAAACGGGTCTGGCTCTACCTCGGGTGAGGCAGGCAGCCCACTGCCTTTGAATTCTGTGAGTTCCTTAAGCGGAGGAGCTGCACTGGCAGCGGAACGACGTTATGCCGACATAGTAATGAGCTGCCGATTGACCCCGGCAGAAGTCACAGGATTTGTTGCAGAAGCAAAGGTCGACCCACTGGTCCAAGAAATAAGCTATACTGAGCATATCAAAGCATGGGTTGCGACAATTTTTGAAATCCGGTAAGAACAAGTGATATCTTTCCATACGCCCCACGCATGTACTCAGTGTTAAAGAGACTTATTACGATGATATTCTCTAGAACTCCTCGATTCCTTTGCTCTGAGGGTGGAAAAAGAGCGCAGATAAGTAAGAGAACACAGCACAGAGAGTGCAACTTTCACGCCTGTGCTGTTTCAGGAGATCGCAGTTTTGGTATAGTGTCAGTCACAACTCACTTGATGAGGGCAAGCCGCTCAAGTAGAGCTGGAGGGTTACGTGAGGGCCTCACGCGGCATAAAGCTTCTTGCCTTCGTGCCACATAGAAGGCTTTCGGACGTAGAGGCAGTCCCAACCAGACCCTCACACGACTGGCAAGTCGTTGTAAAACCGCTGTGGCGATTCTATCCAGTGTTATATGCATTACCCATCAGACTTCAAATAACTGTTTCACCCTCAAGTGACTAGGTAGCCATGCCAGAGATGAGGGTTCTTCCTACGTGCCAGAGGCACAACTGCTTTACCCTATAACGTAATCATCTGGCAACAATGAGTATTGTTTAACCACAGCGCTGCCGAGAACTGCACTGCCTGTTCTTTCGCCATGTAGGTGAGTAACTGGCTCACGAGCTTCGAAATGGAATCTGTCATTATTTCAGGCTAACTTGCAAACCATGACCGTAGCCCTGGGAAATAACGAAGGATTAATTCACGGGGAACCTGCCACCTCCATATCCTGTAGTCAGCATGTTGCCGAACCAAGCAATAAGCTTCAATAGCCCCGTAACTTAAGTAATTCACCTTTAATCTGTGTGCCTTCACTTGTGCTCCATAGCCGGGATAAAGGGACTGCCACTGGTCTTTTCAAACCTGCGGCCGCATTGCGCAGCAATGAATCAAACAGGGAGAAAATGCCGTAAATGGTTAAGTACAAGTGTGGCTATTTTTGTCCAGTTATCCATCTCCGGTTATTGCTTGTGCTCTGGATAGTTGAGTTTCACTAATGGAGTCGAATCATGTTTTGGATCAGTGAGGCTTGGCAGGGCTTTAGTGTGAATATCGGTCTTGGGCACATGATACTAGAAAAATGAACTCACAGAATAATGCAGCTGCAGTTCCACTGACTGGGCAATGTGTTTCTACTGTAGTGTACGTTTTGAAGTGTACCGCATTAGTCTTAAGGAAAAACCACTCTCGCTGTAATTGAATTAAAGGTGGTCAAGTTTCGGTGCGAAGGGCTGGGAGGTATGTGCAGCGACAGAAAAGTGAAGGGTACAGTCCTAGCAATTCCAGTGTGGGCCACAGTCACCTCTACCTAGGCAGTGGGAGTTGCCAGGCACCGTTCGGTTTCCGGATAGGTATTGAGAGAGTTCGGCATCGTCTACGCTATTGACCGCCGAAAGGAACGGACAGCACAGCAACGCTTGCTTCAAGCCAAGGCTTCGGAAGGAGCCTTCGATCTGCAAATGGACTCAACTGGGTAGAATGCCGCATGTACTGTCAAGCGCGTTTCGCGGCATTTTTGTCACTCCCGAAGCAGCGTGCGACGTAGAGAAATGCCTAGGTTTCCATCAACGTGAGGAGCACAGAGGTGCCTGCATCACCGGCACTCCTTGTTGAACAGTTTTGTGTTCAACCAAGCATGTATTGATGCTAGTAGTAGAATGGGGTGTAGCAGTAAGAGTATCAAAAGCGTCTAGGCAAGAGGTGGAAATAAACAAAGCATTTGATGATATGTTGCAGAGCTGCAACCTGTCTGTCGAACACTCAGCTTAGTCCCTGCAACTACGCTCTGCATATCTCAGAAACAGCTAAACTGCCTGCCACACGGTTGGTGTGCATCCATAAATGGGTTTTTTAACGTGACGTAGGGCTCAGGTATCGGACTGGTTCGGCGAACAAAAACCTTGCGCACAGCGAGAATGGCCCCACTGAGGCAACCCTCGCAGTAGTTTCTCGACGAAATTAATGAAGATTGTTTGCAGGTGAGCGATGGGAGAGCGAGATGTCAGCCGTCCAAATTGCTTGCATGCCCCTTGGAGAGATTGCCTCATAAGCATCTAGGGCTGCGCAACGGCCGAGAAGGAGATAACTCATATGCGCATGTGCACCGTCTTGGCATCTGGCTGGAAGCGCGCTGAATGGAGTACGCTGTTGATGCACTCAGTACGAAGCCGCACGCATGCTTTCGCAGCGTAAGCGACGGGCGGAAATTCCGAGAAGACAGCTGCAACTAGGCAAGGTTCGCATTAAAAATACCAAACAGAAAGGCCGTGCTGTACAGAGCACCGGAAGCGATGCAGCTTGTGGATGCTCTCCTGATAATAAGAATCATGCCATGGGTCTTGATGCCTCGACGAGAGGTCCAGGAAACGCGCTGATGGACTGGATGGTCATCCTCGATGGCCTGGAGGATGGAGTAAACCAATCTTTCCATAGATAACCTCTGATAATAGGCGGTACCACGATTAGCGAAATGGCCGGTGGTGCTAAGGGGTCCGCCACTTCTTCGGCATCGTTGAAGGCGGCCTGCAGGAAATCCTACGCAGTGTCAGGGGTGTCGTAGGAAACGATCTGGATGCTTGCGACTAAGCTCCCTGGTGGGACGAAATCTAAGGCGAAGCACTCCGTAAGCCGCACCTAGCATCCGGTTTGGTGTTCAGAGATAGGACAGGACGATGAAAAAAAAATTGTCCAGAGCGATTGCAACCGTAGAATCAGATGGAAGCGTAGGGTAGCGTCGACGTCACGGAAGCCCTCGACCTTGGCCGACGGCCATCGTGAACTAAAGTGGAGTCAACATTCTATTTACAATTGCACCCAGGAAACAGCTGACCGCCCCTCCAGTCTCCAGGCATCCACGGCGCAGCAGCAGGAAGGTCAAGGACTGATGCAAAGACGAGACGGCCTCTCATGTACTGCAGCACGCCTTCCTGCAGCCCCCACTGCTTCGTAATCCCCTATGCAAACACAACCAAGTGCCCTTTTGTGCCAAACTTGGCCATCAGTTGCCCGTTTGCATACAACTCGAAATACCAGTACCAACTTTACAGGCGCAGCTTACTGCATTTGATCTTCGCTACCCCCCAAGCGGCACAAGCCATCGTCCGACTGGTCGACCGAGGGGAATGAATGGAAGAGCAAGACGGGCCAGAACCCGCAACACAGAAGACGAACACGTAGCAAGAAAAAAAGGATGCACGTCATATGGGGATGCTGCTTCTATTTGGTATTGCTGCTGCCAACGGCGTGTCACCGCGGTAGCGTGGATATGCGAGAGGTCATTACGGCGAGCTTCGAGTTGCGCCTGGTTTGAGATCCGCTATTTAATGCATGCAGTTTAGCCTAACTAGTTGCCACCAACGTGCAGCGCCAGCGCACGCGCGAGCCAAGGGTCCCGCCAGCTCCAAAAGACGGCCCCGCTCAAAAGCATGACAAAGATAGAAGCATTATGGGCGGCGACGGCGGGACAGGCATACGTGGACGGAATAGAGCAGATCTCAGCACACAACAATTGGCGCTATAGAGCGTTTGGATAGGAAGGTGCAGTCGTCTCTACGGAACTACTGTCTACGTAGCTTTGTGCGCTGCCCTACTTTTCCGCTGGACTGTGCGTGCCTGTGCCCGCAGTCGCCGCTGTTGAGTTGCTGAAGGCACGTAGATACTGAACACCAACTGCCTCGCCCAAAAGCAGATCCCCAAAACCAACTCGGGCTAACAATCTTCGTGCCATTTAATAATGATAATATTCTCGTTTTTCCTGACCTCTTAAAGCGGAAAACAAATGGCCCTTCTCGGCTCATGGCCACCTTCTTCGTTTGTTCAACCTTTGGTGCGAGCTGCAGAGCGTGCCAACTGGGCCCAACATAACTGCTGAGTGTCATTTGTCGTAGTTTCTTGTTTAGGGTACAACCTCTGTAAAACGCTGCTGTTGCGGAGCTGGCTGCCGATAACCGTTACTAATTTGGGTTCGTACAACTGCTTTTCGGCGTAGAGCAGTAACTCCGGAGACCAACGGACGAACTGTACGCAGTTGTGTTGTAAGTCAATTTCGTACAAGGAAGGAAACAAGCTCACTTATATGGTTTTTGCCGGGTATAAAGTCTCAAATGCTGTGCGAGCGTCAGCTTAATTCATTGAATTTGATCGTCTGACTCGGGGAAGTTCGCGGTGGTCATATTATAGCAAACATTAAGCATTGCTAAGCTGTGTCACGAATATGCGCCAGAAGACGCTAACAGAATTAGAGGCCCTGGCGGCTATGGCGCCTTCCGGGAAATCATGGAGCTTAAAGGCGCTAGAGGATAAATGAGCCATTCCTTCTGCTGCAGCTGTTTCCCATGGGAGGTGGAATGGGCATGCTCGTTCAGTCTACGCCGAACGAAAAATGCCGCAGCGCCTGACTCATTGGCACCAACTATTACACCCACTGACATATCTGTCCAAATATGTTTGGGAGACCGAACAACCAGCAAAAGTCCGGGTCTGAGAGTGTTCCTCCGCATCCGTTTCAAGTGCTGAGATTCGAGGCAGTTGGAAATGCACCCATCCGCTGCGAGGCTCTTCCTGGGCCACAAACAGGAGTTCGTCACCCATTCTTGTTGTGTTGGCCAACCACAGCACGATCATACATTTTGCTAGAATATTGCACACCAGGCGAGGCTGGCGAGTAAAATGCGCGTAGTATATACCTTTCCTGGTGCCATAGGAGTTGGCAGTTCCTGCTGTAGTGCTTAAACTTCTCGCCCTTTGTTGAGTTTGGCAACAGCCGCAGTCGAAGGCGAGAAATGCAATTCTACAGTGAAATGTAAATCATCGCAGCGGCGTAGCGGTGTTCCGAAAGAACCTGCCTGAGTATTAGAGCATTGTAGAAGGGCGTCAGTAACCAATCTGGTTACACCTACCACACAAGTAATGTGGACGCTTTTTCACCCCCGCACCAGACCGCGTAGAGCCCTTCTGGCGTACCGGATGCTCCTGCTAACTTCCTGCGGAGCTCTGCTAGTAGCAGGCGATTATTTTGTAGCTTTTTTGAATTGTTCGATTGCTGAGAGAGCATCATCCCAACGGCTGCGTCACTGGCATCGGCCATTAATACCAGGGGTCTGTCAAAATCAAAGGGCGCGAGTACTGTGGATGATGTCCTGATGAGGCTTCTGACGGCTAACTCTTCACTTTTTGTCCTTGTTAAGGAGGTCAATTAGAATGGAAGCGATGTGAGGAAATCTGGATGAAGTTGCGGCAGGACGATGCACGACGGAAGAAATTCCGGGCGTCTGTGCCAATGTAAATGGGTAGCGGCCCGCTCCAAATGGCCTGTATCTTTGGTGGATCTGGGTCTACACGTGCTGCGCATGCACGAAGAGCCGGGGAGCCAGTCGTTTGCATGATAAGCAAACATTTTCGAGCTTTTCGAACCTGTGTCCCTAACATAGTAGCGGCAGAGCAAGCCGTACGTGCGGCAGCTGCTCCGGCACATTCCGGTTGAACGCAAGCACGTCATCCATGTGTCCATCCATTCGTCTTTGATTTACCCAAACAAATCATGATTGACCGGCCCCTGCAGTTCGGCAGGCGCATTCACTAGCTCAAATGGAATTTGGGTAGGGGACCTAGTCTTGTGCCTGTGGTCTGGATATGCTGGGGTCTAGAAAACGGTTTTTTGGAGTCGACAGAGGGCAGCAAGCGGTGAAGTATTTCGTCGGCCCGTATCACCGGAAGCTTTTGCTTCACCGTGGTTCTGTTGCGCGCATGCGCAGCCTCCCATCATTTTTTCCCCAGCACTGGATTCTGTCCAAATGCTGTACTTCATGGTTGAGCATTCCCTTTCCTGAGCAGTTCGTCAGCTTGCCTCTAAATTTCCTCTCCAACCTGCTGAGGTCGCATATTCCGTGGAACAAGGCTTGGGATTATTCCGCGAGTGAGTTCGATTCGGTGCACAGGGTGTTGCAGGGTCGCTGGCACATCTGACGGCTCTGTGCCCGCTTCTGTTATTCCTTGAGTGTTGCCTGCGCCGCACTTCTGCAATGCGTAGGAGACACCCCGCTCCTTTCTACTTCGGACACTGCTTCTATTACTGTTACCGTAGAGAATGCATATGCTTCTAAAAGTGTTGAGAGACGCTTTCTCCCAGTGTTTCTCGGCGCATAGGCCTCAATAATGTTGTCCACGGGCCGCATGTATGCTGTAACTGGGTCACGTACGGCATGTCTAGGACTATGCTATGGTGAACTGGTCCGACATAGAAGTTCTCCATCATGAAAATGGGGCCCGCATAGGAGTTGAGCTCGCATTGTAGGCACACTGCTTTACCACTCTTTATCACATGCCTGCGAAGCCCAGTGCTCCAACGAACCCTCCAGCAGTTTTGACAGTCATTTCACGAAGAATACTCCAAAAATTGTTTTGGTATAGGCTTCCAGGGCGCCTTTTTACTAATCCCTCCTATGCACCAGGAAGCCTGCTGTGGGGTGTGGATTTCGTTGCTCTCACCTGCCCCGGTGAAGCATGAGGTGCTAGTTTGTGCAAAAAAGGCATCGATCGTTTCACAGGAGCTGAGCTGCAAGTCATGAGCTGCGGTGGAGTCCAAAGGCTTATGATAACAACTTATAAAGAGCAGGTGATCTCCCGTGCAGTCCGCGGTCGTCCTGGTCACAGCGGCTGCGGTGGGCCACGGGTGGGTTGGAGAGAGAGGACGACAGCTGGAGATGGCTTCCACCTTGCTCCAACTGGTGCATCAGCTCAATCCGCAATCTTACAAGCAAGCATAACAAACTCCCCTTTGCTGCACTCACTAACCTTGTAAACAGCAGTTGAACGCTTACTTGGCCCTTGGTAGGCTGCGTCCATGTGACCAGAAGAATTCATGTGCACACTTTGTACAGACTGTGCTGCATCGTAGGTCTCTGTCTTTCTGTAGTTTATTCTGTTCGACGTTCCAGCTTTAATTTTCACTTGCTATAGCATGAATCTAAAGGGGTCTTGGGTAGTTTTGCATGTTGCCTTGCAGCAGGAGTTGCAGAAAGAATCACTGCAACTCTTTAGCGGCTGCCTGCTCCCCGCACCAGCCCTAGTCTCACGGGCCGCTACGCATACGACGCCTGAACACTGTACGTATGTAGGCGACTTTGGGAAAATTCCACTCTCAACTAGTGTGCCTCTGCTGCCGCTTATGGCGGTCATCGGCTACGGTTAGGGACTCCAGCAATGCAGGTGCATCTGCACTCTCTACCCAACTCAACTGCAACAGCTGCAAGAGTGCCCAGCCGCAGTGCAGCTCGAAGCTGGACCGCCTTAGACCAGTTTGTAACAGTTGCTTTGCGATGAGGAAGGAGGCGTTTTTATCAGCTATGGGCTCTCCGGAGCCACCAATTTTTCCGCGGTTATCTATGCTTCTTCCTCGACCTGTGACTATCTTGGCGCTGCCGTTTAGAAGATATTCATTTTTCCTCACTGTAGGTACTGTGCCCCACCCTTATCTGCTTGACTGAGAGCCCCCCCCTCGCGCACGCCGCAACACTCTGGATCAGCAACCAAGGGAGCACCAACAACTGGTTCAGGCCCTGCAATTTGGAGGGCCTGTTGGCGCTGTGCTGCAGCAGCTCCAGCGGCCCATCGAAGTGGCTGCAAGCTTGCAGAAGCAGCGGCAACAAAATAAATACCAGCATCAATAAGGACAACAGCAGTGACAGCACCAGCAACGCCAGCAGTACGAAAAGCAGCAGCAGAAGCAGCACCTATGAGTTGGGGCCTTCGTTGGGCAACGCTGGTTTGTTGTTGCAGCTGCTGCAGCAAGTCATGCTGCCCGCCAACTTATGCTCTGCTGAGGAGAATGGTTTGCTGCTCTCCTTAGATTCGCAGCAGCAGACCAGCGCCTGTAGCGCCATCCGCACCTGCCCCAGTAGCAGATGCTGCTACAGGGGTCTGCGCTTCCGCTGCTGCTGCACTGGGTAAATAGCGCGTTTGGCACTATCATGAGAGCAGCAGCAGCGGGAGCAGCAACTGCAGAAGCAAGAAGAGCCCCCACGGCTTTTCATCTGTTTTCTGCTTCCGGTGTGCAACAGCAGCTATCCTTTGGAAGTTTGGGGACAGGTAAGCCACTGCAGTTTCGCGTGATGCAGCTTGTTTTGCGCGCAGCAGCAGCAGCAGCAAGAAGGGGGCAGCAGTAGCAGACCTTCCCCAGCTGCAAGGCCTCGAGCTGCGGTGCCCTCACGACATGACAGCTGGTGGGCTGAGTTCCCGCAATGTACATCATGTGATGTAGCAGTAGCACCAGCACTTGCTGCTGGCCCCCCGTAGCACACAGACTGCTTGGAGACTGGAGAAGAGGTTACGTGGTTTTCAGTAAGTCTTACTCCCATGTCTTTCGGCTCGATTGCTGCTCAGACCGCGGACTCTCGATACAAAGAGATCACGCATCATGCCCAACTCGGCCGACCTGCGTCGAGACTTCCATTCCAGAACCAGAGGTTGGTATAAGCCAAATGAAGGTCTGTTGCGGCTGACGGACAGACTACCGCAGCAAGCGCGAGCCCAAACAGGGGGAATTGACTCGGCGGTACTAGAAATGTGTGACTCCAAACAACTCAAGAGCTATATTTCACTAGACACATATGACAAGAAGCCCTCAAGCTCGGTCGATCGCTTGATTTCTTGAATACTTAATTGGGCTGCGTGTGCGGGTGAAGACACCATCCACGCCCGCATCACCCCAACAGCAAGACACAACCAAGGGGAATAACGCAACACATAGACAATAGTTATATGTTTTATCATATATACAGCTTCTTTAGTCAAAAAATGGATCGTCAGTTAAGAGTCCACGCCGAAGGTTGCAGAGTCCCGTACCAGGGCCCCCCGGACCCCTCCGGGAACATGATCGTCCTCGTAATGTAAAAGAAGATGTGCAGGTTTAATGTATATCTCAAGGCTCTTGAGGGTACAAGTATCAAAAAACCGCTCTTTTCCTCCCGATCCGCAGCGTTGTGCGTCCATTCCCACGGCTCCTCTCTGCTACGTGTACCCGGGTGACTTGTCATGTTTTCCCTTGTCTCTCTTTCCCTCAAATGGAGAACGGATATAGATAGCAAATCCAAGTTTTCTTGGGAGCGTATGGAGTGTTGCCACCGCAAACTGCTGTCGACGGGCAAACTAGAGGAAAGCCAGCAATAGAAGATGATGCGCCATGCTTACGGCTTGCCCGTTAGGAATACCTTATTGACCGCTGCTCAACCGCCATTTCGTGCCCGGTTGCCCGGTAGACGTGCAAGTAGGGGTCTGCAAGCCTTCGTAGGGCTCAAGCAGCAAGCCGGGCAGCCATTCGAAGAGGTGCCCCTTGAGTACGCTAGTTGGGCAGAAATTGCAGGAACACCGTTATGCGGGGCATCCGCAGCCTTTTGGGTTTGCGTGGGAACCCTTGCAGCTGCTTCAGCCTACACTTTCAAACGGGCCAGTGGGCGCCACCAGACGCAACATGACGGAGGAAAAGCGCATGCGCATAGGGCGTGCACCGATGGTGCTTTGAGGAGCAGCGTCTTATATAATCCCCTTCACTGCAAGGAGTGGCGGCTTTCCAGTGCTGCGACTGCTATTTCTTTCCTTTGCTCGGCGCCTGCTGCATTCCGTGTTGGTGCGCCAGCGTGGTGCAGAGAATTGTCAATTCAGTATGTCGAGCGTGAACGGCAGAAGCCGCCCCAGCCTTTAAAGCTACAGCAAATATTTGAGATGATGAAGCCCCTTGTGGTACAGGTGTATGCTGTGACAAAAACGCAAGCGCCTTTCGGTCGCAGGGCCCCCGACCCAACAGAAGTTGACAAGGACCAACATGTGCTTGAGCAGTTTCACTTTCTGGGCTCCGGCTTTTTCTTTGACGACGAGGGTGAGGAGTTTACACTTAGGTGAAACAGTGCTCGTCGGGGTTTCACAGATATGTCCTGGGTTGTGCACACAGGCATACTGTGCGCAACTGTGGGAGCATCTTCAGGCCACATAGTAACTGCTGCTCATGTTGTCTTGGTAAGCTATGCCCTGCTCTGCGGCAAAGTTGTCAATCCATGCATTCCATGTTTGCAGTGTAGACGATGGCCTGTTTGAGCTGCCACCTTCGTATGGTCTCTCTTGTCCCTGTTGGTCGCAGCGGCCAAATGACTTGGAAATAGGTTCCGCAATCTGCCCAAAAAGTCATGAACCACCAAAGAGGCTGCTAAAAGGCGACTTTGTCTCCTTCCCACTTGCTATAAAAGACTCCTTCGGTCGGTTGCACACAGTGCATCTCTGTGGAGTGGATGAAAGTAAGATATGTATCACCAATTCTCACGGAATGCCTGTGGGGAGGAACTGACGTAAGCTGTCCACGAGGACTCATGAGTGTGGGCTTTTGTGCTTGTGCTGCAGCGACTGATGTGGCTGTGCTTCGGGTAGATGACTCCTTCCAGCGAAGGGATCTCCCTCATGTGCACGGAAGTGAGTTGTCGCGGGGGCAAGACGGACTGCGTTGCCGAGGGAAACAACTTCCCTCAGGTGGTCATTGCTTTTAGAAGGTCTGGGTAACGGGACTCTTTGATGATGCGCGAGTACAAAGCCTTTGTGAATGCGTGTATATGCCACCGTTTTATTTTTGCAATACCTAGTACAATAAAGGAGTAGGGAGCTTCCCCAAGACTTAGTGTGATGTGCTTTCTGATGAGTCATCCATCCTCTTTTCGTCCGATTCGGCTTGTTTGCGTAGAGTTCGCTGTCGCACGTCCAGCGATGGGAGAGACAGTTGCGACATATGCTGCAACAGAGGTTCGACGGCCACACCAGCAACAACTGCCAGCCAGAATAGGACCGTTTCTTGTTATTGACTGGTGTGGATCGTCGGTCTTCGTCAGCTCAATGGAACAGCACCATGCGTACTCGGTTTTTTCTTCAGCACGCAAATGAACCAATAGGGGTAGCAGGCCAGGTGTTGCAGCCCCGTCAGACCTTCCAGCCGATGGATGGCTCGGGAAATGTGGGTCTCTTACAACTGCAATTGCTAACGCTTCCTGGTGAGAAATGTTGTTAAGGCTATACTGCATGCTGCAGCAGATTGCTTTCTTGCCTTTCACTGCAGGCTTTTGATGCTTCGTTGTGCGGTATATATCCACAGGGATGTCAGGAGCGCCTGTATTTAACATGCAAGGGTCCATCGTAGGAATGCTTGTCAAGAAATTTGATGTGTGCGGGTGAGCGGATGGATTCAAAGCGCACAGCCCATCGCCTTATTCACTACCAAGGATACCCAAGTTATGTTTTCACCAGAAAGCAAGCACCCTTATGATTTAGGCGTTCCGTGAACCAACAAGTAGCCAGCACAACCTGGTGCTTACGCCCTCCATCTCTCACATTTCTTGCCTGCGTTGGTGCATCAGGCTGGCATTGCCGTCAACTGTCGTGCTTCGGGTTGCGGAATCTCTGAGAGATTCGGGCGAATTTACAGTACTGTCCATCGGTAGGGCGTAAACGTAACTTTCGTTTTCAATATACTCCGCGGCATTCTTCTGATGCTCCCTTGGCATGCGTTTCCCAGAGGCATCGGCGAGGTGTTGTGCAGGGTTGCTCGTGGAGGAAGAGATGCCGCGCTTGGCTGCAGCACATCCAAATCTGCCCACTGGTAAGAATTACCGATGAATCCAACGGGAGTGGGAGGGTCTATCCGAACAAGCAACTGCGCCTTCCATAACTTCTTTTTGATCCACGGCGATTTGATAGGGGCAGCAGCGATTAATGGGTATCAACTAGTCTTGCGCGGGAATGCGCGCAGTTTCGGGACTTAAGGTGTGCGGGGTAACTCCTGGAGGCGCTGCTGCCAAAGCAGGTGTTCGCGAAGGGGACCATATAATAAGTGTTAAGGGAGAGCTTATGGATTCCATTGGACGCGTGAGCATTTCCACGCTTGCCCAGTCATAGTCAGAATGGACGGCGCCACACGCATGTACAATCTTTTAAAGCTATTGCTGACGCCACAAAAAGGACTGGTTGTATTTGTTTTTTGGCTTCAGCTACGCGAGGTCGTCCTGCTCCACACGGGGGGGCCCATGGAAATCACCGTGCAACGAGGCGCACGTGCTGAGAGAGTATTGTTGAGCTTCTCTGCGTGAGTGCGCTTTATTTCTGAAGCCATGTAGGTCTAGAATCTCCCCTACGGAAGGATTTAATGAACCAGCTAGTTCTAACCAGGACACGGGGAAGAAGGATCGATGTGCATCATTGGCTTGCTAGTGGGGTAATGCGTCTTCTCAGAATGAGGACAACTTTCTTAACAGCATCAAGTGTGGTATGGGCATTTATTATCCAGTTCGTGGAAAAGGAGTCGGGGAGCAAATTTCCAACGTTGTATGGCTGTTCATGTCCATGCATTAACAACTAGCGAATGATCCAGATCTCTCCAGGCAGGAGATATCAGATAAGTGTGACAGTTTCTTAGGTTGCGTATGGCAATACAACAGCGCATAGAATTGGGGTAAGTTTCTTGCAGTGGACAAACGGAAGCTGTAGATGTTTGTGCATGTTTCATTGGGGTGGGCAGATGCTTGTCCTGACGTATTTGCTCAGTAGTTCATGCAGAGGCGGAGGGGCCTCGCGGTTTGATATGTGTAGGCCAAAGTACGGGTGGAGTGTAGGGCTTGCTTAGAGGAATGTGTAGATATTATTTGCTTTTTCCTGAGGGTTTTGCCTTTCTGGTATAGCCTGCATTAGGGCCCTTGCCTACTTCTGATGAGTCACGGTGATCTGTCATGCGTCGTATGTACAAACCGTACCGCTTAGCCACTGTTCTGGTACCCAAAACCCTGAATTGCATGGCGGCGTCCTGAAAGCCTCATAAACTACAGGCCGGAGCTCCTTATTTCTGGTATTGGAATCAAGCCCGTAGGATGCCTTCTTGTCCTTGCATTGCTGCGTTTGTAGGGGGTTCAGGACTGGCGTGCCTTCCTGCTTTTGCACTAGCAATTAGCCCTGCTAGCCTTGGGGCACGATCTCCACACTAGGACAGCTTTGGCTAGGAGATGCACTAAGGTGCATCGATGAGCGCAGCCCAACAGAACGGAATTTTGAACTTGACATTTGCAGATTTGTTTCTAGTGGCATGGGTACGCTGGAAGGAATCAGCAGAAGCGTCCTAGGCATATCACTCCGCGGCTGGCAGAGGCCTGGCTTACTCCCTTAACAGACCATACACTCTTGCTAAGGCGCATGGCATTACCTCTCAGTAAACGTTACCAGACAACGGAAACCGACTACAGTAACAGCGTCCGCCGGTTACCAGACGGACCGCACCAGAACTTGTTTCCTACGGCAAAATTAGCCAGGCGCCGGGTTATTTATCTCTGTGCTGAAGACCTAGTTTACAAGCTTGATGACCTGGCCAGCGAAGGGAACACAAACTGGGACAGATTAGTCTAGCTATGAGGTGGACGGGTACAGATGCCACGGATGATTTTAGGTGAATAGAAGTAACCGTACAGTGGTTAGGCGTTCATGGTTTGCGGCAGCGTGTCCAGTAGAAATGGCAGTTCTCAGTGAACTCCTGAGTAGAAGGCGGAATCGCTAAGATAAATGAAGGGGGGACTTATTTTGTAAGTAGGGGTTGTGCTCTTCCTGAAGTCATGCAGTTGTCCATGATTCTGCAGTTTCCTAGAGTCCTCTCATAGCTTATCCATGTTTGCGTTCGCATTGCAGCTTGGTGCAGCAAGCGTCTCCAGGTAGCGGCACGCATCTACAGAGTTAGTGGGAGTGTCATGGTTTATTCGCCGGATGTAGTTAAGAGCTAGCTTATCCATCTTTGCGTTCTCATTGCAGTTTCGCTCAGCAAGCATCTCCAGGTAGCTGCAGGCAACTACAAACTCGCCATCATTTTGAAGGTTAGTCTGTACTGATTGACAGTGCAGATGCATTAAAAAGCCCTCTGCCCGTATGCATGATATGTATTTAAATTCAGTGAGTCAACGATGAAAAGCTCGTGTGTTGCACTCCTTTTCTATCACGCATTTCAGAATATCTTATTTTTTAGTCCAGTATCGGGCACTGCAAGTTTCTGAGTCAGTCGGCAGGAATACCAAATCCCTCCTCATCGATGATAGCGTTGCTTTTATTTTGGGTAGGCTTCCAGTCTTAAAGTTGCCTCCACCCCCATCTGCAATATATAACCGCCAGCAAGGCCATTTCTGCGTATGGTATACGATGCACTGTCGTTTCGGTTACCCTTTAAAGAGGGTTGAATGAAGCAGAACCCCAACGAAACGCTAGTTTCCAGAGGCCTCAGAGGCCGCGGGAAGAGCAGTTCTCCAGCCAGCTAAGAAAGTAGCTGTAAACAACAAGTCCTGCATGTTCGTTCCTCTTACGGACTGAGCGCCTATGATAAATCAGGCTTTGTCACTCCATCTTGTTAGGGAATCCGGCAATACCTTGCTCCTCCAGAAACCATATCACGACCACAAGGAGTCCGAACCAGGAAGTCTCGGCACAATACCACATAGGATCTCAGCAACTTTGTATAGAGCCCGCTAACAAGAACTGGCCCTTGCATGCACTTACAATGCAGTGCAACAGAGTAACGAATAATTTACACCCCGAACACGTACGCACGCGGCCGTTTAACTGGAATTTTTTGAACAAGAGAAGATATTGGAATTTTTCCAAGTGAAAATAAATTATGGCACATCTAGAAACGCAGCAGCAGAGCAGTGTCATGAAATGTGTTTCTTTAGTTCTAGCGCTGTTTGACAAAGGATTAGCATGGGCTTCCCTAAGGTTATGCTCGACAGCCTGCCCTGCTCTCGTGAGTCGAGCCGCGTCAAAAATGGGGAACACAGCAGGGCAGCCAAGAAGCCCTGAACGCGCAGAGCCTCCTTATAGAAAAATAAGAGGGTAAATGATGCGGGAAGGAACCGTTGCTCATATTGGCTATAGCCAGAACTCACCACACGTGGCACAATGTAGTCCAATGATCAAGCTGCCCCTGCAACCTTCGACGGTTCAAATTCGTGCCTTATTGCAGATATCTCAGCAGAAAAAGAAAGATAGGCTATCATTACAAATCCTCCAAGGGCAGCTTAGCATTCGCTCAGCTGTGCCACATACCCAGTGCAGGGATTCAGCCAGCCCCAAATTCGAATGCAATTTCCAGGAGTTAAAAATTGGAAATGCCCACAAAATTGTTTGGCCATGTGAAGGTACAGACAAACAGGTAAAGTTTAGATGCCCCAGAGCGGCCATATACAGCAATTTTTGGCGGCGCTGAATACAGCCCCGCTGGACCAGTGTTCGCCGACGAAGTGAAAGATCCTGAGGGATGGCTGCGCTTAAGCGCTCCTCAAAGACTTTGCGGCACTCCTGATTTTCTTGCTATTCAACATAATATTGTCGTCTCGTTTTGCCTTTTCAAGTCGGTGCTCTCCGCATCATTGACGCTGCTGCCGACTGCTAGTGTTAGTCCCCGAGACCATTCTAAAAAGTCGGCATCTTGGCCGTGACGGCACCCCCATAGACCGTTGTTTGTTCCCTAGACTCTTCTAAAAGGTCGGCATTTTCAGTGTGACTGCATCCTCAGAGAGCGCTGTTAGTCCCCAAAAGCCCGCATTTTCAAAGTGACAACATCCTCAGTAACACGGAAAATGAGTAACAGGGGCCACAGTGGCGATACACTAACAAGTAGTAAAGGGGAATGACCAGCTCATGGCGAATTTCTTGTGTTGATAGAAATTCTGGGCGCCTTGTAGGGAATGGATATTCGAAGAAAGGATTTGGCTTGCTTTCGTGACAAACGCAGATACATTTTTTCTCGGATTCCTGTGCTTCTTTCCTAGATTCCCAAGCAGCTCCAAGCTGTGCCTGGAGGCCTCCAGTTTCAAAGGGGCGACGGTGGATGGCATCAGCCTTACTGGATTACCTGTCCGTATCTGCTGCCGTGATCCTACGCTTCTTTAGCTATGGTCGTATCGTGTGTGAAATATCTGGACATGCAGCTTGATCTAGCACCAGAAGGTGCTAACAAACTTCAGATCCCAGTCACAAGGGGGGCTTGGCGAGAATCCCTTCTGAAGACGTTAAGGGCAGCCGATCCACTACATGACTGACCCGAGCATGACTCCCTACCCTAGGAGTCCGTTCTGTTCTGTATGGAGTGACGCTGGAGGGTGGAATCAGCGTAGCGCAGCCACGCGCTTCGATGTCAGACGGCCGTCGCTTTTGCAATGCATAGCTCGTTTTCAGCTGTTCAGGTTCTCCAGAGGCGTACATGATTGAAAAACTCATGTTTATAATTAGGGCACACTCCGGCAAGAAAGAATATCAACGCACGCAAGCGCAGTTGTGGAGGGCGGGCTGGCAAAAGTTTGAGGCAATGGATCAACGGCCACGTGTCGACTCCGCTAACATGCTTAATAACCTTGTAGTCTTGCAAGGCCCACATGTACACCGAACCGGTTATAGTTCCCAAGGGTGTACCAACGACTGATAAGCTGTTAGGCGAAGAAAAGTCCCTTCTCTAAGTAGGGTCAACACTGCTTTACACCTGCGGAAAAAGCGCGAAAGCTTCGTCTCATGTACCCGGTGATCTTCGTCTCATTCCATGGAAAGCTGTGTCAGGCAGAATTTCATTTGGTATTCTTCCTTAACTCACACGGTTTGTAATGGAGGGTCGCGCACCTGCGGCGTCACTGGAATCTGTCGTGACAAACAGAAGCTCCTGGGAATCAAGGAGCGCAAGCAGTGGAGACAACAGCTCGAGCTTGTTAAGTTCCGGCGAATTCTTCATTCGCATCCCTTCGAAAGTGCTAGTTTTCATTTTTGCGCAAAGGTACCATAGCCATAATGGCGCATCAATATTATAAAATGAAATTCTTCTAGAATGACGGGAGACGAGGGATTCTCATGCGAATGCACAGGTGTAGCGTCCGCTTCGGAACGCCACAGATGTTCGATTCCCACGCAGAAATTAGAGGTCTTAGGGTCTCACTGCCAGCCATCGTTGAGCGTCGAACCACATCTTCGCTAGATCTGGCTCAACGCCTGCTGTTGCAGGAATGAGACCCTAACACTCCAACTTCCTCAGTGAACGAGAAAAGTACCTCGGTGCTTTTGCGAATCATGTGGTATTTGCAGCGCACTCTGCAGATGCTCCAATTGCTCCTGCACGCTCATGTACATGCCGCCTCACCTCTTGCTGAGTGCGTGCAGGAGGCATGATGCTGGAGCGCAGCAGATGAATTTACGATATCAAACGCATGTATATGTACTATAGTTTGCGACTGGGCACGTGGAGCACGACCTTGCGCTAACTGTCACTATTAATTTGGGATAGAAGGAAAGACGTCAGAAAATATGATTGAAGAGTATGTTGCCGACCCTGGCAATGCGCCAGGTTGCTCGTCCGCTCAAGGCAATGGCTACTCCACTTGACTGGAGTTTTGGGGGGTTGACGTCGGCGGAAATACTCCGCTTTCTGTCGCTCGTCTTCTCCAGCGCCGGTCTATGGATGGGCTATCCCTTGCCAGCCTCTCCAAGGTATGGGGGTGACCTATTCATCGAGGCAAAACTGCGCGCCGATGGAGAGGTGAGTTTGATGGGTTGTACCGTGTCTGCAACGGGTACTCGGCTCTTTGGAAGGCCCTTGCAATTTTCGAGATTTGAGGATTCGCCTCCCCTAATTCCGCATCTCCGCGCTGTCTTGAATACAGATGGGCCAAATCCTTCAAAATTGTAGTCCCCGTACGCCCACGATGGCAGATTGCATGCAACTATCCGTTGTGTCCAGCGGTGGCCCCCTTTTCTACGCAGGGTTCGCATCACTTTTTCTCCCTAAAGAGATTGGTTTTGCTGCCTTATCGTGGAGGGGTACAAAGCTAGTTCGAGATATGGTGTGACCTGCTGCTCATCGCCTCCCGGCACAAAGACTGCAATAGTGTTTTTCTCAGACCGATTTCGTGCCCTCCACTGAAACGCTCACAGCATGCGTAGGATTTTGTCGTGAAGAACTGGTCTAAAGTAATACCCGGAAATACGGCAGTGAACCTAGAACCTAAATTTAGGTGTGAACTGTCGTAGTTCCACCGAGCCTTGCTCCCCACCTGCTATTTGGCAACTCCCTCCACAAGGCCCTTGCTGGAAACAGAAATGTGACAAACTCGTAAGACCCCTTTTGCAGGCTGTGCTAAGTATGCACAACAACGCCCACGCGCAAGCATTTTGATAAGCACAGGGATGCCTCCAGATAGATCTGCAGAGCTGTGATCGCCTCCAGCGGCTTTTTCACTGCGCTGTAGATTGAAAGAGTGCCAAAGAATTTCCAAGGATTTCATGCTGGTATCGTCACTTTGTTGGCCTTCCAGGTGAGGCTGCTCAAAACGGTCTTTTTCTAGATCTCCCGCTTTCTTCGTGTGTTTGCAACTCCTGCTGATTTTTCGAAAAAGGCTTATTCATTCCTCTCCGCGTTCCCCCGGCAAGCCCTGAGATGCTGCGGCACGCATTTTTGCCATCATTTTTCTGGACCACTTCGAAGCGTTGTCTTCAATTCTCAACTGTGGCACAAGAAGTGGTGTACGCTTCTGTTTGATGCGCAAGGACTCCACTATCTACGCGAGTTCTACCACTTCGCCCCTTAGGGACCTCGTTGCGCCCTATTCGATTGCTGTTGGCTTTTCTGCAAGACAGAACATTTTTGATGTATTACTGTAGCCCCGACTCGACCTCGCGACTTCTACTTGCCAAGGCCAGGAACAACTCGCGGTAAAGCATTTTACACTGTAAAGTTTTCCTTGCCCTGCCACAGCTTACTCCCCCAAATACCTGGGGCCATGCGAACGTTGCAGGACACCTCTGAAGGCCCCCTTCAGCTTTTTAATGGAGGGGGCACCCTTGATAACGTACCACCACCGTCGTCGTTTTTTTTTATTTCCACAACGTTATATTTGTACTCACTCGTGCACATCCCGATGGGGGAAGTACACGCCATAGCGGCGTAGAATTTCCCTGTTGCCTCCGCACCGCGGCCCCCATCATGTCTCAGTGGTGCAGAAAGGCGAAGGCAGTTTGCATGCATAGATTTTACGGTTGCAGCGATAAGTGTGGTGGACTTAACAGACAGCGTGTATTCCAAGGCACCTTGGTTGCAGATTAGCCGCTTCTCCTCCTACGGGTAAACCCCAATCAACATCTGTTTTTCCAAGAACAGGGAGGCCTTCCCCTTCGGCAAGTATTACTGGGAAAGCATCACTTATGTTTTTTTGTTATGGAGACCACATTCAAGATAGAACAGTGCCCGACGTGCAGCATCTGTGGGGTGATGGTCGTTGCCCACGCCTGCCTATAGTAACGATGCGGGGTTACCATGCATAAAGAAAGTCTGACGCCGTAGCTACGTATCGACGTGAACTGCAGTAAGGCAGCACACTTGAAAAAACAGTTCTCGCAGATGCACCTGAGCATTATGTCTGCTTTCAAATCTCTTGAGCGCAGTATCATGCGTGGGTAGGGCTGGTGAACGCAGAAGGGGGCCTTGCTCCAGCAAGAGCCCTTCTTGCCGTAACTCCCTTAGCGAAATCAACCGCACAAACACACCAAAAAGGCCGTTTTTTCACTATACACTTATCCTTAATGGATTGTTGAGCTGGCTCTTGCTTACCAGTGGCCGATGTATACACAAATGTGGGTTCATTCACTTACCACTAGCTGGCCTTCCTAGATTTGCCGCAGTGTTCTGGGGTTCACCCGTGTTGATAAGCGTGAAGAGTGTCAAGGTAAGACGGTGAATTCAAGAGGATACAAACGTAGCACATATCAACCATAATGAGTGGCTGATGCATCGCCAGCTCATGTACATTGGAAAGGAATGCTGATAGTCTAGTTGGGGAAGCTGGAGTACCAATGAGTTGGTTGGGAATCGGCTGTTAAAATGGCAACATACTGGCCAGACTAAAACAGTAAAATAGACAGCCTTAAGCATTCCCGCAGCACATCTGTGCAGGGAGTTTCGCTCCATTTCACTGGTTTCACACAGCCTAACTCGACTAAACTGAACAGTTTTTCCTACACTAGATTTGCTGCGGCCTCCCACATTCGCCGTTCTAGCGACATCAAAACGCAATTTTCATATGGACCAGATTTCGTTATAAGCCTAACATACACTTTTTTATAACGGCTTTCTTCCGTTCTCTCCCGCCTTACGGGATAGAAAGGGCGTACTAAGGCGTGAATGGGACTTACTAATATCCACAGCATATGTGCTGAAGCATTCTCATCAATCGTTTCTCCGCTTGATTGAACGCGCACGGACTGTAATGTTTTTCTGTGCTCATCACTCAACGCGCTTAAATGAAAAACGACAAATCGTGAAGCATATTCTTTTGTACCAGCAGATTTCTTGCTCTCTTGTATGGGCGCATCGCCTTTCATACTAATAAGTATGACCAAAGAGAACTATGCTGAGCTTCTGATCAATCAGTGCCACCCCTTTTCATACGATATTTCCATGAGCCTCTATTGATGTACTATCGTTGCTCTGAAAACTAACTGATACTAGAAGCAATCCTGTGTTTCTCCCCCCCAATGAGTAAATGTGAATGACTCTTATTCAAGCTGCGGTAGTGAGTGCTAGCTTTCCAACTTGTAGGCAAACTCATACAGCAAAAGGAAATCAATGGAGCTCGAGTTGAAGCTTTGAGACAACTGCTCCGGAGTAGTAAGCGGCTAGGGCCAGGCCCCTGGCGTCCCAAAAGTACAGAAAAAGATAGGACCAATGGGTCTTTCGTGATCCCATGGCAAAAAGGACGGTCAGGTAACATTGAAATATAAAATTAATACAGGAAGCTTCATTACCAAAGGCTGAAATACCAAGGGGAGGAGTGAATTCCCTACAAGCCTAGCAGCGGGGCCTCTCCCAGTCAGAATGCGCCACTGCTGTCTTTGTGGGGAATTCACTCCTCGTGTGTCTTTGCGGCAGCGCGCACCACTTGCAAGACGCAAGCGTGGTCAAGCAGCCGTCTACCCCAAACTGCTTTTACTTTGTCTTATCGGGCATTGGTGCAGGTGTCCGGACAAATGGATAGAATGCCCTCTAGAGGAGGGAGAGCGCCAAACGGGGACTGGGTGTTCCGTAGAGTTGTACGGCATATACTTACACGAGTGCTCTTGACATTTCGGTAGTTGGATTCGCTGTTGCAATAAAATCCTTGAAATTTAGTTTTTCTTGCAAAAGAATTCAACTGCTAACTATGACTTGGGGAGTGGGCGCATCACGGTGGGTCTAGAAGACAGCCCCGCAAGGAGGCGCTGACTCTACGCAGGCATGCGGAAGACGCTCAATCTGAACACTCAACCAAGCTCATCAATGATTTCGTGTAGTTCTGGTTTTAAATCGTGTTGCATCTCGAAAGGAATATGCCATCCCTTTCACTTAAGCACTGCACAAGTTGCTCATCGCAGTACCTTACCAACCGCCAGTATTTGCACAGGCTCCTGTTACGAGGTCGAGAACTTCTCAGGTCGAAAAATTCCAGCTTATACATTCTTACCGTGGGTTACTGAACCGACTGGATGGAGAAAAGGCAAATCATCTTCATTAGCGGAGGATTTCCCTACTCTGCACACAATTGTACGCTGTTGTCTGGCTCTTTTGCACATCAAATCGCTAGAGGGCTTGCGGCGGCCGCCTCGCCGAAACATATTTGCGAGCATTACTCCTTCCCGTTTTGCCCAAAATAACTGTATAATGCGTGAAAATTGTGACATTATGTACTGTATACAACGACCTATCGTAGTTTTGTCCAAATGAAACAAGAAATAACTGCCCACGTAGGCACAAAAGCCTGTAGTTACAGAATTCTGAAGAGCTGCAGAAGAGTTGCGTTGAGTGTTTTCCTCCCGTGAATACTGCTAGTTTCACCCTGAACGCAGTTTTTTCTAGTTGAGGCTGCAAGCGCATGCGCAATGCAAAAATGCAGTACAGCCACGGATTACGAACAGGTGCAGAGAGTGTGCTGCGTCGTTTGCTGTCACTGTGCTTATATTGTTGCAGGGAGGCAAACCACTGCATGGACCGCAAGTTGACTTTTAGGACACCCTCAGGATGGTGAGCATTGGCGGCTCGTCAGAGACGAAGCAGGAAACAGGAGGGAGTGGTAAAGACGAAGCAGTGGCTACGTACTTGCACGAAGCTGTAGCCAAAACGCTAGCAGAGGGCATTGCCGCCACTATAAAGGCTCAACCTGAGGGTAGGCTGGGTCAAGCTTAGGGCTGAATCGGCGAACACATTTTTGAAGATAATAAAATGAATGCAAACCGCGTGAACCGGTGACTGGTAAAGGCGCGAGGGCTCATAGGTGGAAAACGGAACTCAGGGAATTGCTTCGAATCCGCCCGCGATACGGCAACCCTTGCACATTTCTGTTAGACCATTGTGTGGCTTCGGGAAGATTGTCAAAGAACGGTTGTAGGTACTTTTCCTTTTCTCGCTTCAGATCCCCCCTTATTTCTTTCCCGCTGGTTGCTGCAATACGTTGAGGAGCGCCACAAACGATTAGAGGTAGGAACTAATCAATGCAACGCAACTACTCTGTGGGTTGCAATGCCAGCAGCATAATTACTGCACTTTGATTTGCTTCTTAAAAATATGTCGTGGAGCTTGCAGTGTCGCGAAAAAAGCCGACCGCCGGTTAGCTTCACAGGTTGGGGCGAAGTGTACCGTGCAGGCATCCTCAACGGCAAGGAAAGTAGCTTCAGTGAAACCGGAAACAGCAACTGGAGCAACCCAAGATTTTACCCCGCAACTAGACTTGCATGGCCTCCACGCCGTGGACGATAAGGCCATTAAGGCCTTTCGAGAAGTAGAGTGGGTGGAGGAAGAAACGCTAGTTAGCGTTCTTAACCACTTGAAAGAAAGCCTTGGCGCTACAGGGGTATACCTGGCAAAGTATGAGGAACAGCTGGGTTCTAGAGGAGAAGACGCAACGGCATCTCTAAGATATATAGCTGCGGATGACAGCCACTCGTATATGCTTAACTACTGTCTCCACGAAGTAGGCTCTCTCGTATTCCACAGGCGCTGTGGACCGCTCATTTGTCGAACTGTATCATGTGGAACATTGTGCAAGCTGCAGAAGCCCTGGTGATACTGCAGCAGCACACCAGCCCCTCAAAGTCTCGTAAAAACGAGAATAGTCGTCGGAAACCTGTTTCCCTGCACGAAAAAGTAGTGTGACCCCATGGACTGCTTAGTTGGTGACGAACCGTTGGTGTATGCTTCCCGCTACCTACTGTCTGGTCTCGGAGTAAAAGGCGCTTACGGCTTCCAAGAATATGTTTTTGCAGTGTGTGACTGAAAATATTGAAGGACGAAGGGCTAACTTGGGATTTGCTCCAAGAGCCAGGAAAGGAACTGGAAGGGGCGTCCAAGGACTCAAAAGAGGAAGAGGAAGAGGAAGACAATGGATGCTCCTCCGAGGGAATTCTTGAGAATCCTTGGGCGTCCAGCAATGTTACTGGAGCACAAATAGACGTAGCAGTCACCCACAAAAGTCTGGTTGTTGAAGAAGTACTGGACAACCCTAGAGTTCGCTTTTTTGGCCTTACTCGGCCTGGAAGCTACATAGCTGTGTCGATCGAGTTATTTGAGGTCGCAAATACTGAGTCAGTCATGGCTGTCTTCAATTGGATGAAAGAAAAGAGAGCGCGAGAGGAAGACATTTCTTCTTCCCAAACGCAAGACGAAACAGTCTCATCTGGAAATGGTGAGTTCAGCACCTGAATATCACACCAGGGAGCTGTGTGCTGAGTATGCTGTAACCCCCGGCCTGGAAAGTATATTGCTAAGCCAGAGAAACTTGCTAACGGAAAAGGAGCGCATCAGCAAATATGGCCGCATTTCGCCGCTTCCACTTACGCTAGAATGTATATACCTCCAATGAATCCATCGCTTCCGTCGACAGGAGAGTCTCGAGAGGCTCGTGCCTACCTGGCTGGTCCTAATGGCACCGAAGACGACTCAAATGAAGATGAAGATACCCTAGAACTGGCGGATAAGCCGCTCGCACCACCCGTACTTCGGAGGACTCCAGCAAAGTATGTCCTCTGCGCTGACTCCCTGGGACAGGAGAAATCACTTGGTCAAGAGGGGCTTCGATGCGTCCAGCTGTTTGCGGAGGAAATCGGAAAAACCATTGTCCGAACTCAAAGAGAAGCAGTCGAAAGACAAGTCAGTCCAAGCGGCTGCTTAAAGCTGTGCTTCCTTAGCTTCTGTACCTTACTCCTCGGAAAATTTAGCGTTCCACTAAAACATTTCTTAAATTTTGCCATTAAACTCCTGCATCATGCGGCGCACATACAGATGCAAAAAACAAGGAACATTCAACTTCTGTTTTTGCTCCTGCAGGCAGCTGAAATGTTAAGTGCTAGTGAACGGAATGATCTTGATGCAGAACTGTCGGAGTTGCAGAAAAAGTGCTCAATGAAGCTACAACAACTCCAGGAACAGCGCCAAGCTGAAGCGCTACAGCTCCTTGACGAGCAAGAAGCAGAGGAGATGGCAGTAGCTGAAAGACACAGACATGAGGCGGAATTGAGGCAGCAAGAAAAGGCGGAAGCAGCAAAGCAAGCAGAAAAGCTGACATTGACAAAAGAAGGAGAAGACGACGGGGGTGGCCACTTAAGCGCGGACAGCTTCTCAGATCGTGGCGAATCTGATGTCGACGGGAAATCTGGCGAAGAAATATTTATTCCTCCAGCCCTTCCCAGGCAGTGCGTTTTGGAGGCTGTAGCTGCCCATGCTGCCCTTGAGGCATTCAATGAGGAAGTCCTGACACCCTTCAAATGGAACTTGTCGCTAGGTGAGTTGGCTGCTGGCGAAGCGAGGATTTACTCTGCGATCCCAGGTGATTTACTAGGTAATATGCTTACAGTGCCAAGTCAACTCAATAGGCAAAAACTGGGACTAAGATAGGGCGCGCTTGGGAAGACATATCTGCGAGCTTCTCTCTATGATATTCAGGCCGGCATTATATTGCTGACTCTGCTAGATTGGTTTCAGTAGCCGCTGGTTGCGCCCTCCTACTAGGCTACGAGGCGAGGGTCCTCAAGGTAAAGGCAGCTGGAAAAGACGCGTTGTGGAACTGGAACCGCCTACGTCAGCTCCTGACGCCTGCGTTTGCCGACGAGATGTTGGCATTCGATCCAAAGAGTGAGCAGCACCAAGGGATACGAGCCGGCAGGCTCTCCCATTCTAAAGCCTCCGAATTTGCACCTTTGATTTCTCCCGTTAGTTTCACTAAACCAGTTTGAGTGATGATGCGCCTGCTGATGCTCCAGCTCCACGGCACTACAATGACAAAGAGAACAGCTTGAATTTTATCACGGACATGCTGGACACTGAGTTTCAAGGGAACGACGAACAATCTGAACGGCCACTTGAAAATGTTCTGTTGACCTGGGTAACGGTGAGAAGCATGTCCTAACTTTTTGCCCATTAGGGAAAAGCAAGTTCCAGCTCTACGAAGTAGCAGCGCCAATTTTCGTAGGAAGTAGTCTCCACATTTTTTTCTTGTGTTCACAGTATGCAGTGAAGGCCAGGAAAGCCGAGTTGGTATTACAGCGAGAAAAGCTAAGAAGAGCTGCGTCAATGCAACATGTTCCTTTACCTGAAGCCATTGAACTCGTTGAATTAGACTCTGACTTCGAGTGCGTCGAAGATGCTGAGCTTTAGAGATGCCTGTGAATTCCAAGTCAACTTCGCCGCCAATGAAGCTTGCAGTGTTTCGGAATCTGGAACAATGGATACTGTTGCCATACATGGCACTCTGGCAAGTCTGTGGAGGTTGATAAACAAGGGCAGTAAGAATTTCCGTAAAACCTGAGTAGCTGCGGAATCCTGCCAAGCATTCCGCCGTTACTCAGGTTTTGAGTAACTGCGGAATCCTGCCAAGGCTTCTGGCATGATACTAGGTTCTTCTGGCCGATTCATCCTCATCTAGCCTCCCTCCATTGTGCTTGGCCATCTGCTTGCTTGTGCATTTTCCCTTGGCTACTGTGAGGCATCTGAGGTGATCTGCATATGGGGTTGGGCAACGATGCTAGTAATAACTATAAAAGGGGCGAGGAATTGCCGTTGACCAGAATGAAAATCTCTCAGTGAAGAGTTTGTACGAGGTACCGCCTTCACTGTGGGGTTTTTCGGGTTCTGCCTCGGTACACTCCCCATGCGCTGGCAGCCAAACAACATCATAATTGTTGGGCCAACTTTTGAAGTCTTGGAGAGATTCGCCCAGGACCTGAGCTGCAAACTATCCTGCTCAGCATGTTGACCCTAAGGCGAAACGAGCAGTCGAGCCAGCTTGCCCAACAAGCGTCACAAAACAAAAGCTTTGGGCGTCTTGGTGCCACCTGGCTGACTCAGTGACTGTAGTGAACAGCTCTCTCACGCTTGTTACTACGTATTACCCTGTACATACCTAAGTAAGTGCACACTCTACATCTATCACTACACTCAGCGCATATTCCTACGCTTAACCTAAAATAACAAGCCACAGCCTTAAACGCGCATTCTCTTCTTATTATCTTAAAAACAAAGCTCAACAATAATAATAATGACCGCCCTTGTCCGCGTAGTGGGTTGGCAGCCGGGCGGCAGTGCCAACCTCACAGCCAGCCCCGGTCCTGGGGTCTTCGCCGAGCAGACTTAGCCTCAAGGCTTCCTTTTCAATAATCATGCATGATTCGTTTCTATTAAGACTTTGGTTCTACATTTTGTGCTTCTGCTAGAAGATCGATTTGACCACCATTGTAATGCCGGTGCACTAGAGCTACCCTGCTGTCGATGACGGCGTGTTCGCTTACCCAGAAAAAGCGAAGGAGAATCACGCCGCTCACCTATCCCCCCCGCCGCTCTCTCGTCGACTGACCTCGAGAGAATCCTGGCCGCATTATAAGGAAGGTCCCCTTGTCACAGTCACTCATACTGCTGAAGGGAATCACCTAATTGTTTTAATCGCCAGATGCAATGACAAGCTTGTCCTGCCCATCAACTGATTACGCGCATTTTAACCCCTGTCTGTCTCCTTACAGCACACACTGACGGCAAACTCTACAGTCAACCTTCAGTTTTGCAGGGAAAATGTTACAATCCATCAAAGTACGGCCTTACGGACTCTGCTGACGAATGCAGAAGGGTAAAATCATCAACTTTAGGTATTCTCACTACGCCTTGATGACACCAATGATGTGTTGTGCCTGCGGACAATGTGCCCTTCTGGCACCTGCACGCTTCCCAAGTAATTGTCTGGGTAGCGCTTCTCCGCTGCCTGTCCCTCAGTAGCCTGCAAATGGATGAAAAAGCTGTCGCAAAATTTTTTTGCTCGCGTTGCCAGCAACTGGTGTGAAACTTCCATGGCACCTGCTCGGGGTAGAATCTGGAATATCTCTACTGTGAAATACATATCTGCCATTGAGCTGTAAGGTCTAGAGCTCCATGTCAGCCAAGTTCCTAAAAAAAAGTTTGCCATAAACCTTTTCGTCGGTCCAAAGTTGCTGATGCGTCCGCTGAAGGCTTTTCGTCTAGCTACTTGCTTGCTTACTCCAGGTGTTTAGGAAAATTCGCGCAGCTTCTTGAACGCTGCGTAGGGCAACTCCACCAAGGGTAAGGGTAATTGAACAGACAGTACCCAGAGCTAGACCCTGTTTTTTGCTGCAGAATAACTCTTCACCGGAACGTAGTAAACCATGCAGCTGCCTTGGTTACTCTCAGAGAAGATTTCGCTCATCTCCCTTATGCGAATATGCGAACGGTGGAAGAACTGGGAGGGTTCAGAAGGCCTATGCAACTAGTGCATGGTATTAATTCGCGACCACGTCTACAAATCCTTGGGTGTTATTCACTCCTCCGAATCCAATAGCTTCGCGCTAACAGCCACTTACGCGCAGAATACTGTCTTGGATCTTTTCCATGCTTTTTTGTCATTTTGCTCGAGGTTTCTCCCTGTAAAATGTGGCTTTCTCCATGTAGGCTCATTCTTCTGGCGTAGGCATTCCTATGAATCCCCATAACATTATCAAGCAGCCTGTCGACCACGCTGTAGTGTGCCTTCGTTCGAATGGACAACATCAGCGACGCAAGTCAGTTTTGAGCATGCATTTGAAGAATGTAAATGGGACTCGGAAGGTTTCCGCATTCAGCAATACTGGCATTTCTTTGCAGTAAACATGGGCTTGCACTACCCATATGCTGGCCTTCCTGTTGCCAAAGCTTTTCCATCCCCAGCACGCAAGGTGCAAACAGCTATCAACCTCATCTTTCCTCGACTTTCACCGTAGTTCATTGACCACAGATACAGGGTGTGGAAAGTGGCATGCGTTTATTGTGGCACTGCCGGCAGAAAGCGCGTTCCTAAAAGCATCCGCATACGGGGAAAGCAACACAACAGCAGGTTGTCAATGCTCAGAAACTGAGCTTTGTTCATAGAGTGGACAAAGCAGCCACTGGCACGAAACTCGTCGAAGTGAAAAAGAGTTTTGAGCACTGAAGTGAGATGTTGGCCTTGCAGAGAAGTTCAGGGAATCACATAAATTTCCCTCCCGGGGTCGCGTGACTACGTAACGGCATGTGCGCAGTTCACAAAAAGAGACCAGTATGTTAACTGAAGCAGGAATCAGCGCGTCGCTTGGATTTTTGAGTTTTTGGGAACTGCGTGTCAGGAAAATCTCCGGGCTTTCTTTGTCGAGCGTCGGCACCTATAAGCGTGAGTGTGGTCGCCCGGCAGGGGTTGTGGTCGTCGGATAAATTCACTAGCGGATTTTGCACTAGGGTGCCGTTTTCATATCGAAAAGCTGTTCGCCACTGACGGCCGAGGGAAAAAGCAAATAACAGGTCCAGGGGGCACTTCGCTGTGGTGGTCAAAAGCAGTAGTAGCAAAAATAAGCACCAAATTATAGCAGCCCGCCTTCTCCAGATTGTAATTTCTTTTCCCATGCAGTGCTCCGCCCTTGGGCGCCTCGCCGCTCCCATCTCTCCCTCGTTGTAAATATCCCTAGTCATATAGCGTGTAATGGCCCTGACCCCTATTCTGACAGGCCAACTTACTGTGGCTCGCAGTAAATATCTCAGAAGTGACGTCTCCGATCCAATTGGTGCGCTTACCTATTACCACTTGCCCATCAACAATGTTTTGCTGCAATTCAATTCGCAAGCCTAACGAAGAGCTGCCGGCTTTGCCCGTTCCGGTGCTCAGTCAGACGCGGGCGCCCTCACAAGCATAGGGGCTGAAGTTGACGCACACAGATCTGCACAGACTCGCACATGCACAGCCACGCACAGTCACGTGCACAATCGCAGAAAGTCACATATATATATTATATGTTGTGTACATAATAAATATATATATTGTGTGTGCGCGCATATATGTATGCGCGCACACACACACACACACACACACACACAAGGAGCGATGCTCGGCGGAAGCAGAGGCCCAAAATGTAAACTGTGGTGGCCACTAGGTGAGGGCAAACTGCGCCGTGTTGTGGGAGATCATGGAGAACCCAGTGATTGCTTGCAAACTTTGTGCGGTTCTAGCTCATGGACTAGAAAGACGCCTGGTTGCGCTTCGGTTGCCATGCCGGTTTCTGGGTCTGCTTGTCTTGCAGGAGAACTGGCACAGGGGAAGGAGCAGGTAAGGACTGGGCAACTGCCCTCCACTGCAGCCGGAAGCCCCTGCGTCAGTGTGCAGAAGGATCCACGGCCACTCCAGAGCGAGGCAGAACACGTCTTCCTGGGAACTCTCCTGCACGTATCTTAAGCCTATTGGCGTTCAGTATGGCGCTGAGTTGGCCTCAAGGACTCTGGCTATGTTGCGTACATTCCACCCGTGGGATTCTTCCAGCCATCGGTGAATGGCAAAAGAAGAGGCAGCCCACCCGTCGTGTGCAACGCAGCAACCCACAGCGACAACGACGGCGCTGCGGACCAAGCAACGCGGGTGGCGTCGGCATTGCCAGATTCGAGTAGCGGCACTGCTGCATTGTCTCGTTGCACGCTTCCGCCTGACTGACGCCCCTAAAGCACTCCCCATTCCAGGCTGATGTACTCTGCTGCTTGGCGAAGACGGCATAGGCAGCTTCACATTAGGACTATCCTTGATCGACAAGCACGTAAGAATCTAGAATGTAGGCAAGTGCTCTTTGAATTTCTGTACATTTGGTTCCCGTAGTACCTGGGGAACTGCCGACAACTAGGGGTGGAGGCGATTTGGGCGCAGGATTGGCGTCAGAATACTCGTCCCCCAGATGGCATACATGCTAGCAGAAATCTGATATGCAAAACACGTGATTAACGAAGCATTCAAATGTCGGAGAGCTGAGCCCTTTTGAAGGAATTAGCTGTCCAGTCTTCTGGAACCCCCGGCGCCTGGTACAAAGAGGGCCGTGGGGAAAGACATTTATGGCACCTATCGACCCCCCATCACTTTTAGTATAGCTGCAAACCGCTGATTTAAAAAGCGTAAGTTGCATGATCCTCAGTGGGCCATGAAGCCCAACACAAGCGCCGCTGTTCGTCGAGGCTCAGAAACGCCTCCTAGCCAAGCAGCTGGGCGTCGTAACCTGGTTGCGCCGCGCAGGCTAAGAGCTTCCAGAGGCGTGATTTGCACTGCGCAGCAAGCAAAAGCAAATTCTACGCCACTACCACTGTTCCCGCGCAGGTTAATGCAGGGTGATGCT